TGCAAGTCCCTGCTGGTGCAGGCCAGACTTGAACTCGTCTTTGCCCGCATCCTGCCCGAGATATCTGTCCAGCTTCTTCTTCAACCCTCTTAATTCCTTGACTGCCATATTGTCTAGGCCAAGTGCGACGAGCTTTCCGATAAGCACGAGCACACCATTCTCGTACTGTAGTTCTTGCGAGTCCTTGCCCAAGACCTTCTGTGCCTCTGGTGTACCCAAGTACGCAAACGCGGTTCTTGCGCATTCAGCTGTTGCGAGCAGGCCAGGGTCGGGACCTGGGGCGAGGAAGGAAGAATAAGAAGACGACCGCCGAGGGACGCGTTTTTGGGGCGAGTTGTTGATTTGCGAGACGGATCGTTCCCTGAGAGGCTTTTGCGATGCCGAGGAGCTCGTTGTCTGGCCGAGTCGCGGTCGTGCAGGCTTGCGCGCATCTTCGGCGGCGGTTGGCTTCGACTTGGTAGGGGGACGGGCGGCGGTTGCGTGCGGTGGATTCTTCAGCGCATCTGCAAGCGTCTGAAGGGTCGTATTGGCAACCTCAGTCGCCAGTACGTACTTCTCCTTGGGCCCAAGGTTCGAGTTCTTCTGCTTCCCCATATCCGCTGACGCCGCACCTGTGGCTGTCGCGCCTCTCCTCCGTGCGGCGGGCTGAACTTTTGCTCTAACATTCTCCTTCTGTGGCGCATCCTCCGCTTTTCTTGACAGCAAGTCCTGGAGCGCAGTCGCTGTGGCGTTTGTGCATGTTGAGATTGACCGTAAATCGGCCTTAATTCGATCGGTGCGTGTGCGCGTCGTCTCGTCTTTTGTTGCCATTTTCGTAGGGCCGGGATGGTTTTTCGCATGCGTGACGTTTCATACAGTCCGTAGATTATACATTACTAAGAAGACAGGCGCGCTGGTAGGTATGATGTCGTTCAATGCGGTCGCAGTTGGGCTCAAAGGCCGCGGCCAAACAGCTTCAAAACACGCTACCGCATGCGGTTAGCGTTAGTCTATATCCAGCCCTATCCTTGAGAAAGCGCGACCGACCGTTGAGCCGTTCGATGATACTTACTACAACTACGAAACTTGTTCAGTCTTCGCTATTTGCACCACAACTGCATGATGCCCAGATGCTGTTTGTTTAGGTACTCGAACAAACATGCGATATACAACACGAAGCTCAACAGAAATATGTTTTTCATACAATCCGCCACAGGCTCTGCGTAGGATGGCATAAGCATAACATTCTGGCAGCGTGACAAAGTGCATTTGACAGGTACAAATTGTTGTGCATATGCTGTTCCGGCGTAAAGAGCAGCGGGTTCAGGAGCCTTGGGGAGAAGACTTCCAACAGCGACCCTCAGGCGGTAATATGTGCATGTATCAGTAACATATCGCGGTGATGCTCCAATGAGTGATTCAAGCTTCCATTCAACCTCCAGACACACACTGCAAGCACAAATCTTACTGAACCTACCTAGGTAGATCACTGTCCTCATACTTACGTTGGACATCATGCATTGGCTACAGACTACTGTGACAACGCCAAACATTTCACACCGATGTCCTGTACATTTCCACAGCGTCGGTAGTAGTAAACATCTGACCAGCGGGCTCTGGGCGAGAAAGGACTATATGCATTGAATCGCATAATCTACCTCGCGTGCGCGGTTATTCGTTTGGACGACGCCACAACAGTGCAGATTGTGCGCCGCAACACTACAGCAGACCTGATTGAAGCTTACTTCAACTATATCACTCGAACCCAGCACCTGATATACTTGTTGCAAGAGATGTGACGGTATAGCGGTGAACTGCTTGTCGTGTGTTGGTGGGGCGTCTGTAACAAATTCCGTTGGTAGGCAACAAATTCCTGTAGGATTGTTGGTCTGACTATATCACTGAAGATCCGAGCATGGCTGAATCAGAGGGTACTTGTAGTTGCGAGCTGTTGCCTATGTAGCGTTCTGAGCCCAAGCTGACCCTCCGCGAGCTCTATGCCGACCTTGCGAATTATGTGGGAACTGTGACCAAGGGCGATTGCTACACGAACGATTTCTCCGCAATTGGAGTGCAGCAAGATCCTAAAAAGTGAGTTATTGGCGATGGGCGCGTTGTGACTGATACTGAAAGTGCGTCTGGCTGCGAGTAGCAGGATAGTCGTATCTAAAATCGTCTGGGCCTGATATTCACGCCTATAGTGTAGAACAAGAAGAACATATAGCCAAGACAGCTCGGTCAACTACCAACTGTCTCATTATCGCATGATATTGAAATAATGGCGTTAGTTGCGGTCACCAGCCAGTGATGAGGAGCGCCACTGATGAGAAACTCTTGACTACATCCGGGATATCGAGGTAATAGAGAACGATCGCGTCTGAAGTTAGACTCGCGGGTGGTGTGTATACTCCCATACGGTTTCGAACAAGTAGCCACCGCTCAAATTTTCTCGCTTCCATGCTCCGAATCTCGATCCTGGCCCAGACGGAATGTGGAGGACCGGGAAAAACGCCAACATATGTCCTTCACAATGGTCTCATATTTGGAGGTGCATGACGGCTATAAGCAGGCCACTTGGCGCTATGCCAGATCTTGGTTCACAGCCGTTGTATCTAGAGCTATCGCAAAGGTCGTTGGGGCGGCTTGCAGATACGAATGAATCTTGGATGAGAGATTGGCTGACCGGCTAATATTGTGCCACCCCGTTGGTCACTGGAGGTACTTCGGCCTCGCCAATCGTTGCTGAGTCAAACCTACGACAAGGCGGACAAGTCACTTCGTTGTGTCGAGCCCCTTCGCTCTCGATTAGTTGATGGCTTGATGCGGTCAGCTGTTCCGCTCGCGTATCGAAGCCGCAGGCTAATTCGGTCATAGGAACAGACAAAACGCGACTGCCTTAAGTGGCGTCAGTATAGCCGCGATCTGGTAACGGTTCGTGCTTGGGAAGTGACAGGCGGGACGCGTTGCAGACATCCAAGTTTCGCGCATCGCTTATGACATACCAGGTCCAAGGAGGGAGACGGCCACGCCGTTGCTCGGCTTGCGGGGTAAACTCAGGGTACCTCGTGCGTGTACCTTATGGCTTCCCTTGGTCTCGACCTCAATTATATTAAATTACTACCGGCCCTACGGGTCATCTGGTTCCAGCGCCAGATACAGAGCGGAGCTCGGTTGTGCCTTCAAGTACGGCCCTTACCTTCATGCAATCCTTGGTATGGGGGAAGCCAAGTCTGGGGTACTATCGATTGACCATGCTACTGCAGACCAGGTTTGCAGATGGCGAACCTCAAACCGGACCTCAGGTGCGCTGCATGATAACCCGAGGACCTGTCCACCAATACAATCCCTGTCGTCCTCGCCATTTATACGTCTTGGTAGTGGAAGCGGAATACGGAACCTGTATACGCAACGATGACGGTGCTACTTCTGCACATGGACATCGGTGTCATGCGCACCGAGGACGTTCTATGCAGGAACGCCGTTTCACCAATGCAAAACAATTGCACGTGGCGAGAGAAGAGTAGGAGGAGTTACTGGTCCACCATCTTCCAGCAATAGTTGGTTTGGCGGCGCAGCGTTGCATCATGATCAGAAGCTTCTGGAACACACCAAGACGGTTCATGTACCAGTTCCCATCTTATCCTAACCAACAATTACAGAGCATTGGCGTGTTGTGGCACCGATTCGAAGATGGGCGATTAGACATGCGAACGCATACTCAACGCTTCGACCATCTCAGCCATGAAGCCTGGTTTTCGGGATGGCGCAAGTTTCTGACATTTCTCCCGTCGTCCGTGTTGGATCAGTCACGGCAGTTCTAGTACTTTGGTGGCGGCAGCCAGTATCCGCGCGACTCATGGACTTAGACAACTGGTTTGAATAATGGTGTGTCAAATGTACCCACCGGGCAGCGCGAGGGGAGATATGTCAGTTCGGGCCGCGCAACGTCCAGGGGTGGACTTTTCTCCAACAATCAACCCCTTAGCTAGTAGCCGCTAAGAGCGTAAGTGGTTAGTGCTCATCCGTCTAGCGTCGCATCCTCCACAGTCGCCTAATTGTACAAGACCCTCCCCCGCAACTGTCCGCGGCAAAAAGAAGACGCCAATGTTGTGTTGACGCAGCTGAGGTTGGACGACTCGTCGAAAAGGAATCCGGACCGAACAAGCTGCGGCGTAGTCTGTAGAGGCGAACGCCTCATCAAAGACCAACCATGGCGTTCAAGGAACAAATTGCGCAAGATTTACGAACGCACATCAGCACGGCGAGACCACGGCTGGCAACGCGGTTAGGCACCGTGAATGGCTGTCGCTCCTGGCCCCTGTGCAGGCATTGCTGGCCCTGATGACCATTCGGAGGCACGACAGGGGCGTGCTCCACGTGGTGGCGGGCTGTTGTTCTTTTCCGTCCTGTACCGCTTGAAACTCACACGCGACAGCATTCCCATGTCCGCAAAGTTTACTCTTCCTGCCGACAGGGAGCGCCCAGCCTGTCTACGTTGAAGCAGTGGAGCTCACCCAGGAGGGCTGAGTACAACCCGCTTCTCGAGTCTTTTCCCCGTATCAGACGAGTACCTCGACTCAATATTGAGCATCCGCTCGGTTGGTAATACGCTGGCTGATAGACAGGGGACGGGTGCATTGGCACATGCCGAACTTTACACTCATCAACCCTGCAGCTGTAGCGTGCTGAAAAGCTTAGGCGATCGTCTAGGACCCGTCCACGCCGTCCAACATGCCGCGTCTGGTGCACCTGCATATCCGCCTGGCCTGACACAGAAGTCAGTTGGACGATCTCCTTCCTTTCAAGTGTTCTACCCATATCAGGCGTGCTACTCCACCCCAGCTAGTTCTGGCATCTATTGCCATTATTTCCTATATCCTTTGCGCATACCCCAACCTGTGGATCACTCTTGCGGAGAATACCTCTAGTGTTGATCACTCTTTTGTGTATACAACAAGCTAAACTCCAAATCACCAGTTATCTCCGACCTGATTGATCAATCAACACACGAGAGTTGCATAGTGGCTCCCTGATTGGAAATCGGCAGACTGTGGAACCGCGACCGGACCTCCAGAGGGCACGAGAGCGAGACGGTTTCGTCGCGAACAGATTCGACCCCCCCTTCGCTATACCAACCATGGTATCTTGATGCGTTGAGAGCACAAGTACTTCCGCACATCCTATCGGGCCGCTTGATACTCGGTTACGACCCTCCATTACAACTATGGCGCCCTACGACATGACCGATATAACCTCTGTTCTACTTGAACGCTCTCTCGAAAAACGATACTTTGACGCTCCGCACAGTATGGACCCGCTCACCCCCCTCTATAGGGCGGGGCTAATTCCACTCGCTATTTGCGCCACAATGAGCTTAATATCAGTCACGGCCTTACTGGGATTCATTACACAGCGGATGATTTCGTGGCGGAGACACTACAGGCAATACGTCGGATACAACCAATATGTTATTCTCATTTACAACCTCTTAATCGCCGACCTACAACAGTCTATCGCATTCTCTATATCGTTCCACTGGCTCCGAATCAACAAGATCGTAGCACCGACCGGCGCATGCTTCCTCCAAGCGTGGTTTTTACAGATTGGGTCAGTATTCTCACGCACAAAATATGTGAGACATGTACTAACTCTCGATACTATCGTTTAGAGATGTCGCAAGTGGCTTCTTCGTTCTCGCAATTGCGATACATACTTGGTTGGGCGTGGTCAAAGGATACAAAATGCCGTACAGGTGGTTTGTGGTATCGATCCTCTCGATTTGGCTCTTCTCGTTGATCCTTACGTTACTTGGACCAGCCATGTACCAGGAGCGATATTTCGCTCGCGCTGCAGCATGGGTATGCTCTCTTCCACTAACAAACAATACGGAGCTGACTTCAGCCAGTGCTGGGTTTCAAGAGAATACCAAAATGAAAGACTTTGGTTACATTACCTCTGGATCTTCATCGTCGAGTTCGGCACGATCATCATCTACGCGCATGTCTTCTTCCACCTACGCGGCCGCATTCGAAGCATCATCGCAAACGACACTAGCAAGCTCACACGCGCGACGAAATTCATGGTCATGTACCCCTTTGTATACGTCGTACTCACGTTGCCCATAGCAGTGGGTCGCATGGTAGCGATGACCGGTACCGAACCACCAGACCTCTTCTTCATTGTCGCTGGGTGTCTTCTCACATCATGCGGATGGATCGACGCGCTTCTATACGCCCTGACAAGGCGGGTCTTGGTATCCGGAGATCTGAGTACAGGGAACTACAACAGAACTGTCACCGCAACGCTCACCAATGCGGCACGCCCAGGCGACGACGACCATTACGGCCTACAATCCATGAGTGGCAAAGAAGCCCTTACATCGACTACTGCACGTACCGTCACCATAGTAGGTGGCAGCAACCGACTATCGCGAATAGTCGATCACCGCCGTGGGCGCAGTCATACATTGCGGTCACGGCATGAAGATACGCTACACGAAGATGAAAGTCCTACCCGAACGGGATCAGCAGACTCGATCCTCAAGAACACGGTTTCAGGACATGGCATAAACATTATCACGGAGACAAGTGTGCAGGTGGAGACGGCCGAGGACAAGGCGTTTGAGGCAGGACGACCACGGTCGAAAGACTGGAGTGACGACTATAGCCGAGGATCATGATGATTCAGGCATGGAGCATACCTCTCCTACACGAATTCTGATGAAGACATCACTTCCAAAATTATTATTGTATACTACTACTGTTTTTCCCTCAGCAAAGCGTAGGCGTTGGAATGGCGCTCATTTCTTTCTCCTTTGTTCTTCAAGCACTGCCTGTTGTACCAAACTGTCTACCAAGAGGTAGCATCGAGATACCCGAATCAAGTAAGCAACAACCAATATCAAGACGTACATGCATCTACTTCTGTCCCTTTGATCAACCACACCATGGACCAAGAGTCAGGCCACATGGAGATATCCGAATGAAAACAAATGTCCAATGTAAATTTATTCACTTTGACCCCGTTGTGTTGGTGAACCCTTTAGCCATTTTCTTTTCTGCTCTCCGCGGCTCCTTTCACATGTCAGTGTCGTCCGCGGGGCTCTTCGGGGAAGTGGTTGTGGTGCCGCCCAGTTATTCTATATTTTCTTTGTTCGGCTATCCTACCAACTGGACTGGCTACATAACAAGGGTTATGTAAGACCGATGGAATGAAACTGGATCGTCCTTCGGGTCGGGTACTGTACCAGGCTATCGAGCGCACACCCAGACACCAAGCCACCATATCAATTCGTGCAAGTGCAACCATTGAGATCTCTTCACACCATTTTGTCTTTCCAGGCCAACATGATGGCAAGTTCCAGGCGAAAGGATCTACAAACATGATAATAAGCAGAGGCCAACAGCGAGGTAAGTTCCGAAGAGCATGATGTGCAAAAATAGCAACGAGCGTGAAGGTGTCATGGAAAAGGCGTAAGTCTAGTGTCATTGGATCTATTTGCTGTTTGTACAGGGTATCGTATGCTAATCGAGTATGGTACAATCATGCTCAATTCGGCGTGTCTATTGTACAGTGTCGTCTCTTAGATAACTGAAGTGGCGTGACGTTGGCATAGGTTTTGTTAAACTATGTTATCATCATATCCACGAACATTGGGGAGGTGGAGGCAAGGTATCTTATTCAGCGTGGGTTCCGACGTGAGCGCATCGTTCCTCTGGTAGGAAGCCGGATGCGAGATCTCAGCGTTTCCAGGGCTTCAGTTGGCGATGCATGATCCAAATCGAAGGCAACAGGGACGTCGTCGTAGTCATGCTGCGCATCTGGCACATTTTCCTTCCCCGATGGGTAATCAGGGGAGTGCTGCGCGTCGTGTTCCTGAACTTCCGTACCGTATCGACGAGCTGCGCGCCTAGATTGGGGACGTCCGGTACTCTGAACCCGAGCAAGCTTCTGTTCGAGAAGCCATGCCTTGCGCTTGTATTTCAAGAGCATTTCCTTTTGCGCGAGCGCCTCTTTCTTTGCCTCTATATCCGCAGCTGTTGTGTCATACTCGCTATGAATACTCGCTTCGGTTGGTCCGCGTGTCCGATGCTTGTTTGCGTTGGTGTCATGGTGAGGGGAGAACCGAGAATGCCTGTCTTGACGCGGCAGTGTGCTCTGAATGCGCAAAGTCTGCCGCAAGAGTTCTTGTTGTAGTTGTATGAGCTCCCGCTCTCTCTGTGCCAATTGAGCTTCTCGAAGCTCCACGTCACGCTCTTGGGGTGGTGCTTGTCGGGAAGGCTTCGGTTTGTGTACGTTAGAAGGCAGAGGTGGACCCGTCGGAGACTGTACATCTAGCGAATGAAGGTGCCTCGCTGGTGCCTTTGGAGGCAGTCCCGCGGCTTCACGAGGTCTTTTGGCCTTGGGGTTTCGCGCCTGCTTCTTCTCCGCTAACGGGGGCTTTTTTATGTGCGGTTTAGGCGACAGGTGTAGACCATTCCCCAAGCGAACGTTGGGTTGCAAGATGCCATCGATCAGCGTACCCCGAAACGTCTTTAGAGCCTCGCTGTTCCGTAGACTGTCCCTATGACTCAACTGGGGAGCGTCGTTGAAGCTTGCGGAGATGGGGCGGCTTTCGGTGGGGTCGAGAGTCAATTCAACGTCTTCGAAGGGCGGGTCGACGACTGATACCCTTTGGTCGTCCTGGGCGTTGCGAGCCATGATGCGGAATGTGTTTCTCAGTTTCGAGTCCTTGCTGATACTGCCGTTAGCATGTAGACAAAAATGGTGAGCAATCTGGCTTACTCGATTATGACGAGGCGCGTCCTATGCGGGTCTTGTTTGCGAATTGCCTGCATCTTGGGTGTAGGTCCATTTACAAAATGCGCGGCTATCTTCATACGCGCTTCCAAGGCATCGTGAGGAAGCCATAACTGAGGATGTATAAAGACGGACCCATCCTCAAAGTATGCATATCCGGTGGGGTACTTTCGTTTGCTGCGGGCGTACAGGCTCCCCAAATTCACAGAGTTATACAGCGGCCTGGCTAGGCCGAGGGAAGGTACAGACCCCCAAGGCGGAACGCTGTACAGGCTCCCCAGATTGACGAGATTACTGAGTACCGGTCGACGAGACATGGCTGCTGCCAAGGGTGCCGCGGTCCTAAGCCTAACCTTGTGTTCTACAGTATGTTTCGCGAATGACAAGTACTCTCTTTGCGGCGGCGGCGAATCGTGATGCGTTCAGGGTATGCAGGCGACACGGCCATCGCAAGTTGTTAGACTCCGCGGGTAGGGTAGGATAGGGCTAGAGCTATCGAAAAGCGACGAAGCGCATAGCAGGCGACTGCGTCCGCACGTAGAATTATGCAGCTAGACAAGACCATCAGCTTCGCTATGCAGATTGCCTGCCTCGGCGCAGAAACGGACGCTGGCATATGACAGACATGGCAGAGACGTACCTCGTGGTTGCTGCAACACTGGTGTGGTGGCTTCGAAGGATTCACGATGCAGCACCCAGATTATTGCGCACGAGCCCGTTTGAGTCGGGTGTACCGATCCGCCACTACCCCTTCGTTGATCGACATGTATCTTAATTGCACCTCACGTTGAGTTTTTACCTCGTCATACCCCTCCTTCTCCGGGCAATCGACATGGTTCAAATTTCGTTGTACTCGTCAAATTTCTCCTTACTTGCAGCCGCATCTTCCTACATTCCCGTCCATCACACTCACCACTACAAATGCACAACTGGATACCTCACAACACAAATCGACGAAGAACAACCCAGTCTTTTCATAATCTTCTGATCAAGCATGTGCATGGCATATTTCAGCCTGGCTGCCATCTAATACTTTACCCAAAGACCATGCCGTTGCGGTCAAAATAGTGACAGCCTGGTGACATATCGCATCGTCAACCCATCAACGCCAAATAATTTTCCCGCCTCGACTTTCACTTCAGAAATCAAAAGTAGCGCAAGCCATCATCATGGCCGTTTGTCCATGAGCGAACATGGTCCTGGAACCCCGGCCCACTCTATCGAGCGAACCAGTCGTTGCATCTGCAGAGCAAGTGGTGCCAGATGACACGGTCCGATCGGGTATGTTTGCCGGGCTTTTATATGACGATCCATGATCCATCTCGCCGTGCGAGAATACGGTTGACCAGTTCCTCTCGCCCGCCATCTAGTATAAGCCTCGTGTTCACGCCGCGTCCTGCTTCTCAACTATGCTATCTATCGCCATCGACCGAGTGGAAGGAGTAGTTGGTGTCGGCGGTGCCTTTGCTTCAGCCTTGACGGGAGTAATTTGAGGCTGCGGCTGTGGCGGTGACTGTAGTTGCCCCGCGGGCATACTCTGAGTAGGCGATAAGGACATGGAAGCGTCGTCCTCGGTGGGTTCATTCTCTTCTCCGATTATCTCGTCTACTTCTCGCAGCCAGTTGGCTTTGAGGACCTCCATGGGAGGATCCAGGTCGCCAGGTTTCCCACCGCGTCGAGCCTCTGCTGCAGTCATCTTCCTCTCCCCGCGTTTGTGAGGGTGAAAGTGCATGCGTCGGAGGTGGCTTGCGGCATTGTAGCATTCGTTGTACCTCTTTCCAGTCTGGCATGCCTTACAGTTGGCCAGGAATGACTTGTCGGGTGAAGTGTCGATGGTCACCCAGACTTTACGTACTTTTTTGTGGACGCGGTTGGTATGACGTCGCAGCTCATGCTCACTGCGGAAGCCATCGGGATAGTCCGAGCAGACGGGGCACTTTAGTCGCAATACTCTGCGTGATGGAGGTTTGGAGCCCGCTTCGAATGTCGGTGAAGTGTTAGGCGTAGTCTCAACGCTTGGTGCTGTCACAATGGTTTCCCTTGGGGCTGGAGCTGGCTCTATTGGTTCGCTAGCTTTGGTATCCGTGACGGTAGGGGTATTGGTCGGCGCATCTTCTTTCATCCTGGCTCTGGTTCTTGTTGGAGGCATAAACCTGACGGTACTTGATAATGTCCAGATAGGATCCGGCCAGGCTGGAATACTGTTGTTCTGTGCGATTCTGTCCCGCGGTCCGATACAGTCGAACGTTGGGGAGGCTCGCTTGGTGGGGCGAGTATTATCGCTCTAACGGCAGCTAAATCCGACAGGTTTAGAGAATGGCAAGTGGAATCCTGGGGTACTAGGGACGTGTGATGTGTTTCCAAGTCGATCAGGGAAGCGCGGGGGGCCAGGCAGCAAGATATCCCGATTTTCGCTGGGCCCAGTGGAGTGCGCACGAGGCTGGAATGGCGCAGTCAGCCTCGTTTCCCATCGTGAGTGGGCGAGCCTTGAGCTGCAAGCCACGCTATAAACGGCAAGCTGGCGAGCTGGGTGCTTATTGGATCTGCTGCCTCAGGCTGAACGACTTCTGCTGAGTGCCATGGCGAATCAAGTGACGGAACCCTGTAAAGCTGGGCCAGATAATCAAAAGGAACGAAGGATGCCGCCAAAACCCTGCTCGGATCATTCCGCCTCGCGACGAACTGCAAGTCCAAGAGCGCGGAGGGTGTCGGGCTTGCTAGGGGGAGCGAGCTGTCGTGGTTCATGGCTGGATCATGCTTTTCCTATTTAGAAGTTCCGGTCGCGACCGAATCTCGCAACACCGAACCTAGACATTGACAATTCACATGGCATCATCACCCGACATCAGTACATCCCTTCTAGATGCTTCTGGCAAGATGGCATCAGCATCTACCGCCCTTTGCTCTCGTCTTTTTCCTTGTTCAGCCTTGCTCCGGCCAAGTACCGGAAGACGCCTTTTTGGCTGGCTCAAGCGGAGCCGAGGTTTTGGGCGAATCAGCGACCGAAGGAATTTGCTTGCTTTACGAGGAGTCGCCGATTCAACGACCCAATTGGTGCTTCGTCAAGCCTCGATTCCAGCTGTAGAGGCATCGTCTGCACCTAGGAAGCACGACGTCTCCGTCATTCTCGATCGGCTGCAGCCTTCTTCAACTGGCTCATGTTGGTCTTGCGCTCTCCGTCTTGCACGTCTGAGCAGGTGGGGCGCAATTCGACTGTACGAAGGCATTGATCCTTCGCCTTGCTCAAGTCAGACTAGGTTGCCAGCTTCGATATGCGGTATATGGGCACTACACGTAAGATCGGTCCACACCTGGTTTGAGGCTGACGTCCAACAGCCACGAAACTTTATCCACCGTCTGGCATGTGAGGACCCTACCGCGGGCATGGTACCCATCTTGGCTGCCATCAGAGCATTGACCGCGAAACATCAGACATGCTTTGTTGAACCAATGCCAATTGCGATATGCCTTGCCTTGAGGCATGCCATGGAGATGATTTCTGTTTGATTCGCTTCTGACGTTGTTCCGATGCTACTCTGACAGGCTTCAGCGCGCTACATGTCAGCCTTCCCGCCCGACGCTCAACGCACGCGCCCTACGTAGGTAAAAGGTGCGAGAAACGCTTATCGATTCGTAAGCCTTCTAGCCTGCATAGGGCTGGATCCACGTTTCAGGTCTCGAAAAGCCTGTCACTTTTGTGAAGTACAGGAAAAACCAACGGTCGCAATGCGATCGAGGCTTGCGTACTCTTTCGACTTGATCCTTTGCATGAAGACTGCTTCTAGCTGCATAGATCAACAAGTTTTAGCAGATGGGTAGACTCTTGGCTCTTGATTCGCTCATGTCTAGTCGCACTGGTCAACCAGTTGATTCTCGGCTTGCCCCTCTCTCCGAACCAAGTGTCGCTTTTTCCCTCAGCCTCACGCCACGGAGGCGGGCATAGTACAGTACAACTAACACGGCCGATGTGGGCCATGGCTATCCTGTTCCGTAGCCAGGAAGCAGTGCAACGAACGGTCAGTCTTTCGGAAGAAGAGCTGAGCATATAGCTCGCATTCTACTATGTACGATCGATTTAGCCCGCCGGAGCGATAGTCGCACTTGCTCACATGGTGCCCAATAATGCGTCTTGGTCGTTTGGTGACACGTCTATGGGGACGTCATGGAGATTCTAGATATGACAAACAGCTTCCTTCTGGACACTACCTCCATCCAGATGCCATTATCTACCAAATTTACCCAGAACACTGCTCTGTATCAACCCATGTACAAACCTATGAGCGCCACGGAGTAGCTGGTGATACGATGAGTGGGAGATGATCAAATCGGCTCTCCAAATGCAAACCAGGCATCTTAGCACGACGTTTGGTAGAGATACACAAGGGATCCCCAATGCCAGCCATGTATGTCTGGAGACAATCGCGTGTCTAATAGCCTCTATCGCATGTACTCCTGATACAAGATCTGGTCATGTGCTGAGAGCAGATGTTTTTGTGCGTTCAGAATCTTCGTGGAGAGAGTGTTGTTATCCACGCATGTCCTGTCCTTTACATGTGAGCATCACTCGTCGCGACGAGCATTTAGCCTACTCTAAGGTACTGCCGTTGATGCTAAGACAGGGAAAGACAAGCCGCTACCAAAGTGTCGGTACTGTTGGACGCCTGAAGTTTTTCGGCGTGCTGGAGCCGACTAACTCGTCTGAAAAGGCCATGCATGACCACATGCCTTTCACAGCAGAGAATGCGATGTTGGGGAGCAAGGATTTGGCGTCCGCGTGTTGGCTTACCTAGGTCATCCCCTGTAGCAAGACTGATACTTTGTGCTTAGTGAGAGATGCTCGAGTGGACAGTCAAGACGTGATTCCGTACGTCTCGCAACAAAGTCGATGTCCGCGTTGGCGAGTTGGATACGTGAGAGACAAAGCTAAGAAGCCGTTGGACACGGACCCACTGTTGACGTTTGGGTGACAAACAGGGGTGCAGGCGATCATGCTCTCCACCCGAGGCCAAATCTCTGGACAGCAACGAGCCGCTCCTGCTCACCCCACATATGATTTCATACCCTCGCTGGAGAGCGACCTAGGACATTCACGTGAGCATCTCGTCGCGACGTCGCCTGGCTGCGATACCACGGTCACAGCCGCACCTCTGCTCTGCGCAGCCGTCGTCATCGCCATGCGACCCCCTGGCCGTTCGAGGTGACATAGGCGCTATCTCAAGAAATGTCAGTACCGTCCAGCCATGGCCGGCCCTCGGGAGACTCGGACCGCTGGACAACCTCCTCCCACACGTACATTGCCAGCAACTCGGGCGCATACACAGACAATGGCGAGGGGAGCTCGTCCCCGCGGCGAAGCCAAGATTCGCGGCCCGGCACAGGTGCAACCAACGGCCTGGGAGGAAGCGCAGCATCGGCGAACCTGCTGGCTAGGGACTCGGTGCACGAAGAAGACTTTGCGCGCCGGAAGCAGCGCGTGAGGAGATCTGGCGGCTTTCTCCTTGATTCAAACTTCTCAAGCGGGCCACGGCAGCGCCACGCCAACCACGAGGCTCGCGGGGAGGACAAAGGAGGCAAGCGCAGCTCGCGACACTATGGCGCCCACGAGAAGGAGGCAGGAAGCTCGCCGCTGTCGCGAGAGGTGCAGCGAGACGGCCTCAGTCCTGCTGCCCCCGGCGCAGCATCCCGCATCGACTTTGCCGATTCACAGGACCGACACGACGAGCGCATGCGCATCGGCAAGACGAGGAGGAGTGCATACGATATGCCGTCCACGGCCCATGACCGCGATCCCTCGCCCAACACTGCGCCGCCGCGGCAGGCCATTGATCCGAACCAGCTGGTACACATGGCCCTGAACCTGAGCGAGAGCCGGAGGAGACATACCAACACTGGCCAGCTTCTGTCGTCCCAGCCACGCGTCGCCTCTGGTTCGCAACGCGAAGGCAGCTTCTCCAACTATGGCGCTGGCGGCAGTCTGAAGCACTATCTCAACGAGCAACGGCGGACGTCACGCAACATATCTCCAATGGGCAAGAGCTCTCCTACCCGCCACATGTCTACCTCGATGCAGAGAAGCGGATCCATTGCCTTTCCCACGTCCCAGAACATCAACCCCTCAGCTGCCACGCTTGCACGAGTAGAAAAGGCCCGCGCATACATCGAGCTCCGCATTGAGTACCTCCGACTACTGGAATTCCTCCCGCCCCTGAAGCCCGATGCGAACGCCCCAGGCAATTTTGTCTTCACGTCGACCAACAGTCCAGGCAGTCCCCAAGCGCAGCTCACTCGTGTGCCGTCTCATGCTGGCAAACAATATGAGCTCGGCCGGCCGTACAACCCTCTGCAATACATTCGAAACCGCCGGAGCAGGGCTCGGGAGCGCGTGACGCTCCATCACTCGTCAGAAGAATTCGAGGATGTCGAGCAGGTACGCGAATGGGTGGATCGTGTGGAGCAACAGGCCAAACGAGCCGGCTATCGTCGAGACGATGCGGTACAGCTTCCCAAAATCCATCACGATCACGAAGTGGGACCAGCGCCCCAGAAGCCTGCAAGACCTCACAAAGGCTGGATCTTCAGCCCACAAGAGTTGCTTGCGGATGCACACTGGTTGGAGCAAGACGACAACAAAATGCTGGTAGAAAACCGCTATGGCCGAAGGGTCTACCCACCCAAGGAGGTGCAGCAGAAAGACTTTCTCTCACCACGCGCAAGCAAAGAATACTCTGGGGACCGAAGAAAGAGCTGGGTCGATGGCTTCCCCAGCATCGCAGTTGATCACACGACAGGTGATGAAAGCGACAAGGGCAGCGAACGTGGGCGCAAGCGAAGGCTACTTCCAGCGCTGCGCACTGACAGTCCGAGAGGAGGCAAACATTCGAGGCGGGGCTCGCGACTGCGCAGCCATGACGATAGCGACAGTTCAGAGTCGGAATCCGATACCAGGAGACGGAAAGCTCGTATTGTCACTGATCCAGATCACAACATCGGTCCGCTGGCCTTGCTTCTCGAGCAACAAGCTAGACAGTCGCTGAGCGAAGCCAGGCCACCCCCTGACTTCACGCCAGATACACCAAACAAGTGGGGTCGCAACGGAGACGTTACCTCCGAAAGCAAGCCTTCCCGAGACTCGCTGGAAGTTCCCCGACCTACAAATGGCTTTGCATTTATCAAGGATCGTGGCAACTTCAAGATGCCGCCAAAGCCTCGTAAGAACCCTAATCTATCCATCGATGATCCGGAGCCTCGATCATCTTTTGATGATCAGGACAGCACGGCACCAAACACTCCACATGCCAAACGGTTCCCGCATATTGGCAGCGACTTATCACCGCCTCCAAGCCGATCCGAATCACAAACAAGGAAAGCAAAACGAGGCAAGTTCAACACTATCTTTCATTCGCATGAGCACAATGAAGACCACAAGCACGAATTGCGTCCGGACTCTGCTGGAACAGACAGGAAAGGAAGATCGCGGCAGACCAGTGAGGAAACGCCAGACGACAAACATATCGGCACAGCCATTTTAGCAGCTCCCGGTGCTGTCATGAATCTACTCGGTCACCGCAAGAACGATAGTGTCAGTAGCTTGCCTAGTCCGGACAAGCTCCGCCGCCGAGATACCCAAGAGCCGCATTCTGCTGTCACTCGATTCTTCAAGGGCGTGAAGAACGAGGGTACAAAAGTCGGTGACATCATCTTCAGAAGAGACCGAGCCGATGACTCTGACGCGGACACCATGTCCGACCGTAACTCTGTCGACTTTGATGACGACGGTCCGGTCAAAACCAAGCATACCAAGCGGCCCCCGATCAGTCGAACCGTCACGGCAGGTACAGATGGTAGCATCACAAACAAAGAACGTAGCCATCTGGAACTGCCCTCGTTCCGGCCGGTCCACACGATTGCCGACGAAAACTCGGATTATGAGCATCACATCTCACGCCAGGCACGAGAGCAAAAGAACAGTCGCTCGCCTCGGGTCGATCGACTATTACCACCACGCATGGATCTGGGCACGATATCTGGAAATTCTTCCACGGGGTCTCTCACTCTTACGCGTAGCCACAGCCAGGAGCGAATCAATCAAGTGCTCGCTCGGCCTGGTGGTGACATGGCGGGTCTGCCACCTACTGGACTAAGAGACGCAAACAGGCAGCGCAGTAGCTCTCGACCTGGCCTTAACGGTAGACATTGGAGCATCGCCGACGGTGACGATAATGCCGTTGATCGGAACAAGAACGATGCGAACACAGTCACTCAGGCAGACATCGCTCGCGTCCGCGCACTCTTTCTCTGCTCAGGTGTCAAAGCGAGAGAGATTACACGACGAGCGAATTCTACAAGAGAACCGCCTCCCGACTTTCTTTCGCGCGCTGCCGCTACATCAAAAATGAAAATCTACCCTGTGCCGCGCAAGGAAGAACATGTTCTTGCCGCGCGCATACTAGTCAAGGACCTAGAGTCGTCGACCAAGGCTTTACAGACTTCGCTTGAGAGCTTCCGTGACAAAGCCATCCAGCAACTCACAAACCAGATTTCGGCTTTGCAATCTACGGTTGACTCAGACCTTATGCCGCGTATTCTAGAAAGCGGAGACAAAGCTGTGCGCATCACAAGTGAGGTATCTGGACAAGGTCCATTACAAGTTAAGCAAATCACAGACGAGATAGACCGCATGATTCGCACGCGCAAACGTAGAATGCGCTGGGTTCGGGGATTTGGATGGATGCTGGTCGAGTGGGCTCTTGTTGCACTCATGTGGTGTCTATGGCTTATTGTTGTGCTCGTCGGGTCCGTCAAGAGAGTGTTTGGTGTGGCCATGGGAGTGATCCGGTGGCTGCTGTGGCTCTAGGTGTGCCCAGCAGTATTTCATTTGTTTCCTTGCATATGAGGATGTTAGGTGTTCCTGAACATCTCTCGCCTACGGAGTTTTGGGTCATGGGCAGCTCGACCGGTTTGGATACCGTGATACCACGCGTTTTAGAATGTTGTATGAATATTGGAAGGATTCATCTTGCTTTACATGGCGCACATAGATTTGTAATAACTTTAATTGAGTTCAAGATATGTACACCGCTCGCGCTGACTGCCTAAATCCTTCAAATACTTTCAGTGTCTGAAAAGACACGTATGTTCTTGGTGTTGTTGGTTTTCGAGGTTGCTGTTTCAAGGTGAGTCGCACTTGTCTAGACCGATCCGCGCCACATGGCTGGGGCTGGGCGCCTGAACGCGTCGACGTCATAGGCGTCTTTGCTTGACAAGCTTCACCCTGCCCTCTCCACAACACTAATCAAACACAGGCAGAAGCGTGCAAAGCTTCCGCGTCACATCGTCTTCCGTTTTGCCAATCTCCGACCCTCTGCCCTGTATCGACATGAGACATTACTAGTTATCTCTTGTTCGACCACAGATATCAGAGATGGATTTCCAGACAGTGTTCGTCGCCAAAGACAGTGGCACCAGCCATGTCCAGTCAGTACGTACCTGCATCTACAACCAGGCTTTACTCAAAGCACGTGTACTAACATACCCTGTCATAAGTCTAGCGGGCCATCTTCACTTGCAGCACTCGCTGCAGCTTTCATCCCTACGGCCATCATTGCAACTCTTTACATGGTCGCATTCGTGCTCATTAGGCATCGCTTTCCCAAAATCTATTCACCACGGACGTACATTGGCACCGTGCCAGAAAAGGATCGCACGCCATGTCCAAAATCGCCAGGTTACTTCGACTGGATTCACACTATGAGAACGGTTCCGGATAAGTTTGTGCTTTACCATCAGTCGCTTGATTCTTACCTGTTTCTTCGTTTCATGAGGACTTTGATATTCATCTGCATAATCGGCGCTCTCATTACCTGGCCTGTTCTTCTGCCTGCCAATTGGACTGGTGGCGGCAGCTCGAAAGAGCTTAATCGCTTTGGCATTGGCAATGTGAAGAACAAGGACCATCTCTATGCGCATGCTGTTGTGGCCTGGGTGTTCTTCAGTTTTGTCATGTTCACGGTTGCGCGGGAACGACTCTGGCTCATTGGACTACGGCAAGCATGGAACCTGTCAAAACCGAACGCAAAGAGGTTGTCTTCACGTACCGTACTGTACCTCTCGGCGCCTACTGCAGCTCTCGACGAGGGCAACATGCAGCGTTTTTTCGGAGAGGATGCAGTCAGAATTTGGCCTATCACTAAGGGTGAGAAACTGGTATCTCTCGTCTCGGAGAGGAACTCCAAGGTCGAAGAGTTGGAAAGCGCTGAGATGTCTCTGATCCTGAATGTTAACAAAGAAGTCGGAAAGAGCCACAATCGAAACATCAAGTACGAGCAACTGCCGAAGCAGATGAAGAAATCTTTGCGGCCTACTCACAAATCCAAGACACCAGTTGTTGGCAAGGAAGTTGACAGCATCAGCTATTATCGGGATCAGATCAGAGAAAAAGAGGACGATATCGAGAAGGCTCGCGAGTCGAATGAGACAGCCGAGAGTCTTGGTGGAGCTGCAGCAGTCTTTGTAGAGTTCCGCACGCAACCTGCGGCTCAGCGAGCGTACCAGCAGATCGCATCGGCTGACGTCCTTTCTCTTACGCCTCGCTTCGTCGGGACTACGCCCAACGAAGTTGTCTGGGCCAACTTAAATCTAGCACCTGCTCGTCGCATATCACAGAGTGGCGTCGCCCTGACTCTCGTAATCGCTACGATTGCGTTTTGGTCCATTCCAGTCGGCATAGTTGGTGCTCTTTCTAACGTTCAATATCTTGCCGAGAATTTTAAATGGCTCGCGTTTCTCAACAAGATTCCATCAGGGATTATGAGCCTTCTGAGTGGTCTACTCCCTCCACTGGTGCTAAGCGCGTTAGCCAGATATGTACCGAACATCTTCAGATGTAAGTGTTTTCCACTTGCCGATATTGCTGTTCTATAGCTTACACAGCACAGACATCTTTACTACCTTTGGAGAGCCGACCAAGACTGTCATTGAGATTAAGGTGCTGAAGTGGTACTTCGTTTTCCAGGTACTCCAAGTCTTCCTTGTGACAACACTCGCTTCGGGTGCTGCGGCAGTAGCATCACAAATTGTTCAAGACCCAAGCTCGGTACCTCAACTTCTTGCAGAGCGTCTGCCAAGGGCATCAAACACATACCTCGCGTACTTTGTCGTCCAAGCTTTGACTAATGCCCCGAGCAACATACTGAACTACACCGACGTTCTCTCGTTCTGGTTCTTTGACAAGTTATTTGACAAGACGCCTCGCCAGAAGTACAATAGCTACATCACAATGAGGGGCATGGCTTGGGGCAAGCTTTTCCCGAAGTATGGCAACTTTGTCATAATTGGTAAATTAACCTGGAAACATCGAGTGGCATATTACTGATCTCTCGCAGCAATCGTTTACGCCTGTATTGCACCTCTCGTTCTTGGCTTCGCCGCCATTGGCCTAGTGATATTCTACTGGAGTTATCGATACCAGCTATTATATACCGCACAGCCCAAGATTGACACCAAAGGACATGCCTATACGCTCTCTCTACAACAGATCCTTGTTGGAATCTACCTCGCTGAGATCTGTCTTATCGGTCTCTTCAGCTTACGCGACGCGACTGGTCCCTTAATCATGCTTGTCGTCCTACTCCTTGCTACGATCATGTTCAACTATACCACGAACCGCTACCTTGCTCCCCTCGAGCAGTTTTTACCTGCAGATCTTGCACTCGAATCTGAAGACGATGAGCAAGCACCACTGCTATCTTCCGCAGAGGAAGGCGAGTCGGATGCTTTGGAGCACGCAGAGTCAAGGATCAATCGTATAAGCGAACGGACACGCGTACCATCCAACGTTGTCTCACCACTGGCCCGCTTTCTGCAGCCACACGTCTTCGGTAGCCATACTGCCTTGAAGGCTTGGCTGCGCGATGGCGATTTTGACGAAGACGAAGAACCACAATACAGCGAAGAGGATCTGAAGAAGGCATATCTCAACCCAGCCTTCACCAGCAAGACGCCCATAGTCTGGTTGGCCAAGGACAGTATCGGTGCTAGTAAGCACGAGATCAGTGAGAACGAGAAAACTGGGTTGAAGGCTACCGACCAAGGTGCATGGGTTACAGGGGACGGGAAATTGAAATGGAGTGTGGACAACTTTGAGGAGCTGCCAGTGTTCAAGAAGGCTATCAAATGGTGATCTGCTTCTACACTAGGTGTTACCTAAGTTGGAGCATGAAAAGCGAGTATACGACTTAAAAAGCGAGAACACGTAATAGTGGGATAAAGAGAGATTTCACCAGTCCTAATCTTAACAAAAATTGACACTCGTGATCTAAGATCAGGTACCATCTACTCATTCATCTTGGTCTGGATCAGACTGCTCTTCAAAAAGTTTTTGTCCTTTCTCCAGAAGCCCCTCATCATCCTTACCATCGTCCTCTAGCCCGGCCAGCACCGCAGTCTTTCTATAGGCCAACGACTTCACTACGCTCTCCTTGAATATCTTCATGGTATTTCCGTAGGCTGGGTTCTTCTTGGGAAAGTAAGGGAGGCAAGCTAGGTCCCTTGGTGTCAAGTTGTACCTGTTCTTACACTCAGTTTGGTTGATGAGATCCAATGGCTCTTTGGCGAGTCTCTCGTCCTCATCAATAGAGTTCTCGGATACGTAGGCTGCCCATTTCTGCTTCGGTGTCTTCTCCTTTTCCTGTTTCTTGGTTTTGGCTGGCTTGTCCTCTTTCTTTGGTTTCTCAGCCTTGGCTGGCTCATCTGCGTTCTCATCTCTTGCCGCGTCCTTGCCTTTAGTTTCAGTTTTCACAGACTTCTCTTCCTCTACATCGACATCGTCCTTATGCTCCTCAGTCCACAACTGCTTCCCTTTCTCAACAATTTCCTCATCGTCTCCTTGGGCGCCCTCCAGTACACCTATCTTCCTAAACGCCAGCTCTCTTACATCCTCCTCTAGGAACAACTTCATCATACCTGGGTACAACGGGTTCTTCTTCTCGAATCGTAGCAGTGAATTCAATTCATCTTTCTTCACTCCATACTTCTTGAGCGCATCAGTTTGAGTGATGCTCTCATGCTTATCCGGCTCTTCTTCTAGCATCTCGCCCTCGTTGTCGTGGGAAGAGAGCCAGTCTTGCCAAGCTTTCTTGTGGGCAGCTTTGTCGGCTTTTGCTTTTTTCTCTTGGGCTTCTGCTGCGAGTGTCGTAGGGTCTTTCTTTTGGCGTTTGGGCTTTGGGGCTGTGGAAGTCGTCATGGCATCATTTTGGTTGGCGATCGCGTCGTCGTTCTCATTGTCGGACTCTGCGGCGCGCTTCTTGGTAACGTCTTTCGGCGGTGCCTTCTTCGGCACCCTGGCCGCCTTTGGTGTCTTCTTGGTGGTGGTCACGCCTTCCTTCGAGTGCGCCGTTTTCGTTTGCTTCTTGGCCCTTTTTTTCTTGTCCTCGAAGTCTGAGCCTTCTGACGCAGAGGTGTACTTCACCTCTTTAGTCGCGCGACCGGATCTGCGTGTCGACATGATCGGAACTAAGATATTGTGTTCTTTCGTTCAGGTACGGGGATTGCACGCAAGTGAGTATGGTCGCCCAATCAGAAAATGCTGTGCAGGTATCTCGTCAAGGTGAACAACATGAACGTCAATCCTTCTAAAATACGATAGAGATAGAAGAAACTGGTTCGGCTATATGGCGATAGCTTATCTTATTTTTCATCTCCTACAACAAGAAAGGACAAAGCAGGTTTCACGTTGCAGTGCTCCTGCCGGATTAGATTGGGCAAGTTCGTTCAAAGGAACGCTTGGGCGTACGCACGCGCAAGGGGGTTGTAAGATTGGACTGCGTCATTGCGGCGATCGCGACGCGAAAACCATGTTTTGGTTGCCGTGTTCTCGACAATCTACCTGACTGGTGGAGAAGGGGGTGAGCTTGGTGAGTACGGACAATTGGTATTCATTTCTCTTTCGAGCTGTGTTTCTTGAGGTAGTGCGTACCGACGCACGCCAAATGCTGGCATTAGGCGGCCTGGAATTGATTTAAGCGCGCAACTGATAACAAGGCTGCTGTCCTTTCTTGTACACCTACCGTGGAGGTAGAAGGAGCATGAAAACTACACGAGCAAATGCGGCACGATTTCCTAATTACGCCACAGAGGGACTGTCCACTCTCTCCACAACGTCCATGCCATCTTCGCCCCCAATCCTCACACCCTTGATCAGATCTGCCGCTTTCTCCGCAACGGCATACACCAGACTAACGATATTGCCCTGTACGTGGGTCGGAAAGATACTAGCATCCACCACCCTCAGCCCATCCACGCCATGAACTCTGAGCTCCTCGTCCACAACACCACCCTTCTCCTTCGGCAACATGGCACAAGTACCAATAGGATGATACTCTGTTACAGTATTGTTCTGCACAAGATCCTTGGCTTCTTCCAACGTCTTGGGGAGCGAACTGAAGTTTTTGGATAATATGATGTCGCCGTTAGAATCTCGGCGGAAGACCGAGGCAAGGGGCTCTACAGATGTGAAGGAGGTGCAGTGAAGAATGGCGCGAGCCATCATGTCAAGATCGAGAGGATGCGAGAAATACGCTGGGTCGATTGTGGGATGTGTGGTTGGGTCGGAGTTGTTGATGTGAACGGTACCACGGGATAGGGAACGCGTGCTGCATGCGCCAATTGAACACCACATGCCTTCTTCTTCGAGAGGAAATAGCTTGCTGGCGTCATCCGGACGATGTGGCTGGAAACCAGTGGGTAGCATAACGAGTTGGCAGACTGCCTCCTTGGGATCGAGGAGTTGGCGCGCAAGCATGGCATTGCGACCTGCAGGGTCGGCGTCCGGATGCTTACTTGCGAAGTCTTGAAGGAGTGATTGAATGTGCGACTCTGCGTTTGGAAAGTCGGGCTCAATCTTTGAAAGGGAAGCAAAACCTGTCGTGCCAGGCGGTCCTGCAAAAGGGCCGGCTTTGTGGGTAATGTACGCTTCTAGGGCTTGTTGCATGATGGCTGGGTCCTTGAAAGCTTCGGCGGTTGGGTATTCGTCTTTGACACCCTGGTGGAATTTAGTATTTTGAAATATGGCTGTGATGATGTGTACACTTACTAGTACAAAACCAGTCGCTGTGTGGTCATTCAAGTTCTCTCCTACGCCCGGAAGGTCGACTATGGTTTCGACGCCAGCCTTGTCAAGTACAGCAGGCGAACCGATGCCGGACAGCTCAAGAATCTGTGGCGAGTTAATGGTTCCACCGCAGACGATGACTTCTTTGTGCGCCTTCATCGTGTGTGTAGTGCCATCGACGGTGAATTCGACGCCAGTGGCCTTGACTTGTCCAGCGGTCTGCTTAAGCTCGACTTTAGAGACGAGGGCATGAGTTACAAGAGTCATGTTTGGCCTATCGGCATTGGGCTCGTAGTATTCTCGCGCAGCGTAACTTCGCCTGTTATGCTCAGGATCAACGGTGCTAAGTTGGTTAAAACCGCCAATAGCTGAGCCAGTACGAGGATCCTTTGCGGGTGAATATCCAGCATTGGCTATAGTCTTAGGCCACACATCCTGACCCCAAGTGACATCAGTCTTCGCGAAACTGACATGAACTGGACCAGAAGTGCCACGAAGTGACTTGTCAAGGTATTTGTCGTCGACAGCCTTCCCTAAAGTCTCTGATGCGGGATGATATCTCTCGAATTTCCGATAGTAAGGTATCATATCGTCAAAGGACCAGCCTTTGTTTCCAAGCTCTCCCCAGTTGTCCAGGTCCTGTTTGGAAGCCATACTGCATAAAAGTTAATATGTGCAGTATTTCCGGTTATACCTGAGAGGCAGCGCTTACCTGAACATATTGTAGTTGACAGCGCTGCTGCCACCAAGAACCTTTCCACGAACCCAACCATGAACACGGCCAGCAGTACCTTCCTAGCAAGACTGTTAGGCAAGACCAATTGCACCATGTTAGAAGCGTACCTGTGGAACAGTTTTATAGTCCCAATCGTATTGGGGCTTGCCCCAGAGCTGGGTGAACATGTTTGGTGCATCGATCAACAGGTCGTTCAGTCCATTGCCGCCAGCTTCCAGGATAGCTACAGTAACGTTCGGATCTTCTGTAAGACGAGCCGCGATGACCAGACCAGCTGTACCTCCTCCACAGACGATGTAGTCTAAAGATGTCAGATGGTCAACGGCACAGTGTCAGGATCGGACTTCCGGCCTCGATTTATTGCAGTAATGAAAATTTCCACATACCATACGCTTTGTTTGTCAGTTCCTCGAGAGACATTTTGGGTCAATATTCTGGATTGTCGATATAAGAGCAATCGAAGTAGGAACTCACACAAGATATATGAGTTCGCCAAGGGCATTGCTGATGCCGCAATCTATCGAGAGCGCGCTTTCCAAGGGTCTCAGATGCAAGGCTAAGACCATCAGGTGTGCGGGGTTGTGTACTACCGTGAGAGCTACTCGTTCCATTCGTGCCGGCAGAGCCAATCTCTTAATTCTCCAAACGCCCCATATTCTGGTTCGAGTACCATAGCCGTTAAGTCTCCAAGTCGCTAGTCAGATCCGGTTTGGTACAGGCCAGAACATCGATCAGGCCCCCTAGCAGTGCTTACTCTGTACATTTGACCAGTGCTACTCGGTAACTCCGTAGAACTCTAACGTACTAAGCTGGATGATACTCGGCGGTAGTTGGTCTATACTTCTAAACAAGATTATAGACAGTGGGGAGCTCACTGGTATCAATTCCTCTGTCAATTTCCGCGTTCGGACTTGAAAAGCTGTGTTGGCGTGAGAAGTAGGAGAGAGACTAGCTTGGGGAGCAGCTGAAGTAGCCCCAGGCTCCTAGTCAACATATTTCAGCCCTGGGGTGCCATTAATTGTGGGGTAGATCCTCGTAATGCGTTGTCTGGGTGCCTTGGTAAGGAGTGGCTGTCAGAGGCTTTAGGAGGTGCTCGTTGCCCTGCAGTAGCGAACAGGCCTCGTAAATGCAAGGCGTCAGCACATACGCCCGGACTAAGTCAGAAATTAAGAAGCATATGCCAAGTTGTAAGCCGGGCCAAGATATGGTCTGAACATGAACTTCGTTATAGTACCACGACAAAAGGTGATGTTCAGCAAGATTGTCGCCATATCGAGGGGCAGGAAGGGGGGGCAGCGGTGTCTGGAGTGACAAGTTCCGCGGCTAGCTGCACAGACCCTCAGGCTGCAGATGCTCCACCAAAAAGTTTCTAGAGCTTGCAACTTTCAACTTGCGACAACGACATCTCCAGATACGCCCGGCCATGCTCACCGAACAATTCGTCGCCGCCATCTCGGCATCGACAAAGCCCAATACGGGAGTCACAAAAGACGCGGGCATTTTTATACATGAGTTCCAGCCACTTGTCGCCCAGAGACATGCTTTCAAGAAGAGCGCGAGTGCGCCAAACGGCATAGCTGTGAGCGCCTCACACGTCTTCGCTGCGCAGTCGGACAAGGCAATTGTACATGTGTATAGCAGGGAGAGGGGCAACCAGGAAGCCCTGGTGCCCTTCCCAGAGAGAATTCACAGCATCGCACTCGCAGCGCAGGACAGCGTGCTACTGCTTGGAACCGAGAGTGGGCGGATATTGGCTTGGGAGGTTAGTCACGCGTCTGGAACAGCCTTGATAGTCCCCAGCTTTTCTAATACATGCCTCAGGTCTGCTCAGGCCGTCTCGTCTCTACATCCACTTCGCATCTCCAGCCAGTCACGAGCATCGTAGTCGACCCATCCTCCAACTTCTTCCTCTCCGGCTCCTCCGATGCTATGATCCACGTATGGGCACTTCCCGCCATACTATCCTTCTCCCCCGATGCCTCGCGCTCGCCTATACACACCCTCTCTACCCACCGCGGGCCCATATCCTCCATTGCCTGCGGCCACAGCTCGAGCACTGCCAACATTGCCGTATCAATATCAGAGGACAAGTCTGCCATAGTTTGGGACTACCACAACGGACAAGCATTGAGGACCTATCTGCTGCCCGAGATACCTACTGCTGTCACTCTCGATCCCGCAGACCGCGCATTTTACGTAGCTTATGCCGATGGCAGCTTGCAAACCATTGACTTCTACGACGAAGTGCAGAAGACTACTTCGATAGACGTCCTTCGGGATAGCGCCTCGTCTCATCGACCGATACAACCATCACCCAAGAGCCGCTTCAGTGCAGAGTCGCAGAAGCTCGGCGGAGCCCTCGCTCTGACTCTTAGCTGGGATGGTACTTCCCTCATCTCGGGCCATGCCAGCGGCAAGGTAGCACTTTGGGATGTCGCAAAGGCAAACTATCTTTCTACTCCCGCCAATCTTCCTGGTCCCGTTTCAAACCTTCGATTTCTCCCACCTACTGGCTTCCCTAACACAGCGGAACCCACCTTCAAGATTCCAACAATCGTCAAGCCAAAGCAAGATGCAGGACTCACGAGCAGCGCAAATGGCCTGGTTCCGTCAAATTATACTCTAAACCTCCAGCTAAACGGTCGGTTGCGCAGTCCCCACGTTTCTGCTACTGAGAAGAGACTTGTGGGAAGAAGTGCATTTGAAGAGGCCCTTGTACACCCAAGTTTCCCCGCCGGCATGCTGGAAGAGAGCTTAGCTGAGCTAGACTCATGGACTACTCAGCCAAAGGGTGGTGCTGCCCCAACGGCTGACTTTATGGCACTAGATGATGGTAGCATGAACGCGTCTGATGCTTCGGGCAAGGCTCAGCAGACCGAGGTCAAGGAACTGAAGAAGCAGCTTGCGAGCTTACAACGCATCCAAAAGGTTACTTTCTCACAACTTTCAGAGCTGCGGGAAGAGAAGGACTATTTTATAAGCCAGGAAAAGAAGAGGGCAGAGCGTGCCAAAGCACGAGCGAAAAAGAGACTCACTAACGGCGGAAACCGCAACCACACCAATGGGGACGTGGAGATGAATGAAGGCACAGACGCCACTTCAGGTTCTGATTCAGATGGAATCGATGCTGCCGACGAATCCTGAAACCAACGACGATGGAACTGCATACAGAGGCTACGACGTGAACTTGGCTTCTCCACGACAAGATGGCTCCTGCGGCGTAGTCGGAACAGATGCTGCGCGTACTTGTAACGAGTTTCTTGGCATCACCATTGCACTGAACCTCGATGTGTAGTGTGTGCACGCACCTAGTCTCTTCTTCGCCTAGTACGTATCTCACAACACGGCGAAGGGCCCGAAGCCTGGTCAATATCACTTAAGAGACCTCGGTCTCGATACCGCCGCCCACATTTCCCAGCCGGCAAGTTCCGAAAACACCCGTCCCAGACCATCAAGGCTAGCCTTCGTATCCGACGGACCTGCTATTCTATTGCGAAAACCACGACACATCTACTCAGAATCATCGAACACATAGCCAAGTCCAGTTCAAGCCGACATGGCACAGAGCGGGGTAGCTCATGTAGCTTTCCCCTCGCAACTGTACGACTGTTGACGAACTTCATTGTACTGTCCAAGCACGATGCCGTGTCTTGAATTTCACGCTTGGATCAACGTCAGCTGCACTGCGGGACAAAAAGCCAAATCTAGAGGCTGCTGCCGGTTTTCGATCACGCAGCTCTTCAACCCGTCCTGTTGTGCTACTGCTTGGCTTACGCCGCGGGTTCAGGCTCCATGCGATGATACTTTGCTGATGAACACTCTGCGGAAGAAGTTGGAGACGACATAGCTTGCTGCAGTGGGACATGACACCAACACCAGTCGGCAATTGTAAAAGTTCGCACTCACTCGGCATAAGCAGCAAGCTTCACTCATGACGGGCGAAACAGACTGAAGGTTAAGGCATGTCTCGAGCGGTGTGAGTATACTCGCATATGTGCGACCTCGCTCGGCCCTATAACGGCCGTTCCGCTATAGTGTGGAGCGTTGTTCCTTGCTGCACACCTGACTCGCAAGGAAAAAACCAAGACTATCGAACTACCACCCGCGATCCTGCGAACAGCCGTTCGAAGATGCTGCCAATGCAGTTCTTATTCGATTCAACGAACCGCACCTGCCCTCCTGGGTGGTGGGGAAGAGTATACAGGAAAGACGGTGGACGAATAGGTTATTGTGCTGCCACATCCCTCTTCCCTGTAGATGCTGTACATCACACAACAAAGAAAAAACTTGATCGATATTACGTACCCTTACTGCTTTTAGGTGAAGCGAACCGCGTATCTCGCATGTGCCCCGCCGCTTCCGCCCCCGAAATCGTAAACATGATCATCTCCGTTAGCCTCACTCACAATCTTGATCTTGCAAGCCTCCAGCCTCGCTCTCTTCCCGTCTTACTACCCCTCCATGCTACATTCCCCTCCTTCCTTTCCATGGGAAAAAGCAAAAGTCGTATAGAGCGACCATCAGTAATCATGTGTGCGAGATTGTCAAGTCGCTAGCCCAGCATCGGGCAACGCGCGTTACGCCATCCCTGCTTGCACATGCATAATGGTTCGATGCCACGCAATTACCATTACACCGTTTATAATGTTTAGGATCAGAGTGCTTGCAGTAGGCGATCGCCCGATGGATGGAGAATTTATCCGGCGATCTTATAAGCCGAGTTTTGGCAAAGTGCAACGTGGGGGCCAGTTCTGCGGGAAATATTTCGAGGCATGGGACATATTACTGTTGTCAACAACGATTGTTGTCGTGGTTGCGATGCTAAGGTCTGGGGGAAATTAAACAGAATGCTTTGTTGCAAGGTCTTCTGATTCTGTTCGTACCGCTCCTATCGGATACAGTATGGTCTGAACGGCGACGTTTACGTTACGAACGCGTCACGTATGCATCACATGATGATCTTCAGTAAGGCAGATACCTGAGTTTAGATTGCTTTATTTTTGACGGTCTATCCCGTTCATCCCGCCCGTCATACTAGTTTCCGCGACAAGGCTGCCTGTTCGCAGTGATAGAGGCGCCTTGTCCTCGGTCATAGCTGCTCCGTGTAACAACTGGAACATGGACCCCTGCATCCTACCAGTCCGTGATACCCTGTTCCACAAGCCGAGGTACATGTCGAGAGCGTAGGGTTATCAACGAGGGTACCTGTAGGAGGCTAGCAGCCTGTTGTGGGGACCAACAGTTTGAGTGAAGGGTGCACATGGCGTCCATGTCCCAGTCTTGTGTTTGCAGTGCAAGGGGGCGTGGAGTTCAGATTGATAGAATGGTCCGCGCATACCGAATAGTGTTTTGTATTAGACTGAGAGAAAGTGTATGATTAAAATATGTCCAGGTGATGAGTGATCGCTAATAATGCCATTGGAGAAAAGAACAGAGGAAAACCAATAAAGATGTTCAACTCTAAGGTCGATCACCCTGGGGCAGATAGTCTTTGGTATTCGTCACGGTCGTGGATCCTTGCGGGGCTGGCTTGTAAGGAAGAAAACTGCTACAGCACTGTGCCCACTTTTGACGAGAATGAGTTGTAGGTGAATGCTAGGTTGGAAGCATTCGCGTGTGGCCGGATAGCCCGGATGGGGGGGGCACTGAAAGTACCGTCGGTTTTGCATGTGTGAGGGTGGTGGAGCGATATTCCGAAAATGGTTAAAAATGGTATCGGTCTTCATTCGTCGTTAGGTTGCTAAGGCCGTGGAGAGTATGATGCAGGATGCCAGAAAGCAGGGCAAGCTCGATGAACGCCACGCTAGTAGTCGCTAAGATATCGGGAAAAGGCCACCAGGAGAGCGCATGTGTCGGATTCAAGCAAAAAGAAAGATGTTCAGGATGAGTGAGACTTGTGCCGACCTTTATTGCCCACGGAGTATTCGCCGTCCGGACACCACTGCTCGGGTTCAAAGTCAGGGTTCATGAAGTGCGCGGTATTGAAGTGTGAACTTGAGCAAGTTAGTGTACGTCAAACATATTATCGGGCCGATACCTACTTGCGGAAGATGGACGTCTGGAACGGCTGCACTTGCAATGAGGAGCCGTAGCCCGGTTCCAGCTCGTACATTGAAGGTCGAAAGAGACCGCCCCTCTCAATACCCATAGGAGCCGCACGTTCGATGCTCACGGGTGGCGGTGGAGGATGTATTGGTAGTGTCACAGGAGGTTGGTCGAGGTGTATGTTGTGATGGTTCGGCGGGTTGTACTGGCTTGGGTTGCTAGAATGGATTGGTGTAACAAAGTCCAAGTGGGAAGTGGTAACCGGTGTCACAGGCGTTGGCGTCGGAGCATATGGTTGAACAGGCGTAACTTGGGGATGAGAGGCAGGACTGGGGCTGAAGTCGTACGGAAGCGAAGGCCACCGCTGGCCTAGACCAACACCAGAGGGGTACATTCCCGGAATCATGTTCATGACGTCACCAACATTTGTCGCAGTCGGTATGAATTCGTCAGTGTAGTTGGCTAGGGCAACATGGAGTGGTTGCTGTTGGGGAACGGGCTGATGCTGGATCTGGGGTACGTCTCCAGCCTTGTACAGGATGTCGTAGTGGCCACTGAGAAGGATTAGTACGCGGAAGAAGTGGCTTGTGCAAGGCAGACTTACGGCCTGTAAAGCAGCCTCAGCATAGGGGCACCAGCGATAGGACGATGGTGCGCGTCTGTTGGCTCTGCATAGAAGCTACGGTTGATCTCTTCGCCTGGTGAGCGGTCCAAGTACCATACTTCAAGACCGAGTCCAGCAGGCTTGATTAGCGCTTCAGCAAGGGCAGCAATGCCAACGTTGTCGGCTTCACATTGAGTGGGTTCAATGTAGTTGGAGCAGTATGCTTTGACGTCGCCGTTGTCCACAAAATGCATGAAATCTTCTGCGTGCGTCTGCACCCAGGCACTGGCTAGGAGCTGCTAAGGGGTTAGCGTCAGGAATGGCTAAAGATGCAGGATGCTTACCTTGACGTAGGTGATGATTGCCATGGATTCGTTCATGTCGTTAAAAGTACGGAGTAGAATGGTTTCGGCCTGGCCGTCCATGTTGCGCAGCGAGTTGGCAAGCTTGTCAAGAAGCTCGAATGCCTCTTCGGCAAAGTCAATCCAGATGTCGCGCGAATAACCGATGTTCGCGAGCATGTTGCCCAGCGAATCGAGGCGGCCTTTTTCATGATCCAACTTGTTCACGTTGCCCGCACGTAGCAAGGCTTCAAAATAAGTGAAGGCGATTGCTGTTCCTATTAGCACCGGCAAATAGCACCAAGAGAAGATGATGATCACTCACCCCGCCATCCACAGTGGCCATCGCCACGACAGGTGCGAAAGTAGGCATATTTGGCTGGCAGCGCAGCCGTCTTGACTTGGAAGACGGGATCTGCGGCGGCATACTCAGTCGTGATGGCAGCGCTGCTTTGGCGTTCTCCAACGAGTGGGCCCTTGGGCGGTCAGCGCGCTTCCGCGAATATTGTCGCAAGCAAACTCACAGTAGCCTCGGGCTCGTATTCGCTCGACAGCTTCTGCAGATGGGCATACTCGTCGTCTGAGGGATACGCGGCCATGTTGAGGTGGGGGTTGCGATGCTGGTGGCCTGGGTGATGGCCAGTGTGGTGATTATAGCTCCCGGGAGCAAGGACCGGCGCGCGGATAGCAAACGCTAATCCGCCTTGGTAGTGGTTCTGAGCCGGAACTCCATAGTGGCCCTGGTGTAGGTGTGCATGTGGATGATGCTGGCCATGAGGGTGATAGCCCGTCAACACCGACTGTCTGCTCATCTCGTCTTGGAGTTGTGAGCGTGTGTGTGTGTCCGTGTATGTGTGGGTGTGTGGTTGCTTTGCCTTTAGTTCCCCGCCGTGTGTGCTCAGATGGCTCCTTGGGGGGCCGTGGGCGTGACTGGCCTCAGTGGCTAGCAATTGGACGGAATGATTCCACGACAGATTCGGCAACGCGCAAGCAATCTCAGCAACAGTTCGTCGACGAGCTGCTGGGGAGGGCAGCAGCGTCTTTAGTAGGTGCAGAGGCCGGCGGCAGTAGGCTGGAAGTTGTGTCGTCGCTGTGATACTCACGGGCGTCCAGGGGCACACGCCAATATATGGGAGAGACAGGAGGGGATCTTCGCGGCGTGCGAGTGGAATTCAATCTGCCAGGCACCAGAACAGTCTGCAACACTATGGCTCAGCCGCTTTGAAACGGCCAATTTCAGTCGCACCGGATATCTGCTGGGCAGAGAGGGCAGGGCGCGACGGTGTACAAGAGGGAGGCCACTCCGCACAGCCAGCGCCAGGGAGGCATCGAGCAAAAGAAAGTACTATGAGATGCTCTATGCCACATCTTCCAAGACCACCCGGCTACGGTTGCCCACCAGCCCAGGGTGTGATATCGATTTACGTTCCCACTAGTCTTCATGGGTTAGCATCTGGAGATTGAAGTGCACTCTTTGCTCCATCACATCAAACATTGAATCGCCGAGCAAAGAGCCGCGGAAGAATCAGAGTCACGAGACGGCTAGTATGACGGCATGAAGAAGCCTCTTGCGCTCTTGTCAGGTGTAGCAAGCATTCGAGCAGGCCCGCCAACCGGAACAATTGCAGAATCCGAGGCTGGTGGTGCATGCATGCGACGAGAGAACGCTGTGTCACGTCGTGGATTGCGCTCAACACAGCATCATCGAGACACCCATGGCGTAGAGGAACATGCCAAGACCGCACTCTGGCGCCTGAGCCCTCACGTTGCAGTGGCCGCCTGTATTGCATGATTCGCTCTGCCGCTCCGTGGCGCTTCTGCGACAGAAAAAACAAGTGCCCGCGCACCCGAGATAAACTCTAGTCGAGTTACCGATCCCACGCTGCATGCGAGTCAGGGCGGGCACGGCGTGGGAGCATTGCTATTAGCTGAGAGGTTCGCTTGGAACACTACCCTCGTCTGTGCCCGCTTCCCCGGCGCGCAGTGCAATCGTCGGGAAACCCACTGTGATTCGTACGAGAGCAACCGAGTGAAGCTTGAGATCACCATGCATCACGTTGAGATTCGATTCACGGCTTACTGGCATCGAGATACGGGGGCGCTTGGTGGCAGCAGGCTACCGCGATGACCGCGCAGTCGGGACCTTGGCTTTTGTTACCAGAAAACGAGGCCATGTTACATACAGACAAAAGTGAACCGCTGCTGACCTGTGGGTAATTGCACTTCATTGCGTGACCGAACATGTCCGCTGCCCACATGCTATGTTGAGACGCCTGCCGCTCATGTGCACGCAAATTCTTGCCCGGTGCTACCCGATTGCCCAACCCCATCTCTTGCCTTGAGCAACTTGACCGCATGTCTCAATTACTTCAGGTGAGAAACGCCCGGGTGACGGTACTGTGCAACTATCTTTACTCCGTGGCCTGCCCGGAAACCCAGTTACAGGTCGCCTTGTGAACCGCGCGCGACCGATGCTGCAAGTCATCCTTTGCCCATTACTCCCGGAAGCCTCCCCACACCCTTGCCTTTACCTCGACCGGACTTGCCACCCATCGAACCTTGATTCCAGCTCATGCTTTGGGGCCCGCCACCACCAGGCGTGAATTGAGAACCGCTCTCGTCTGACTTGAAGCCGTCGCCTTCGTTTAGCACTGTCTGCCACAACGCTCCAATGGCACTACTCCATTCCTTCATCGCCTGCACCCGATCCATGTCTGTGCTACTCTCAATCTCTACCGTTCCGTTCTGCTGGTTGATCTTGCCGCGCAACCGCTTGTCAACTATTAGGAACCCTACAATTTCCTGCACCTCGGAAAGAGATATCTTCAGCTGTTTGGAAATAAACGCTAACGTGAAGCGAGTGTAGGGTGCGACGAGCTTGACCACAGCCTTGGTTCGCACGTTGCGCGTAACTTCGTCAATGTTCTCGGCAATGAAAGGATCTTGGAGCAGATCCTGATTGTTCTGCAGGATCTTCTCGTAACCGTGAATGTCTTCAAGCTGATAGGCGTTGACCAGGTCAGTCATTGTAGAGATGCGCGGGTCGTTCTGGTAGGGCTTGGTTTCCTGCGAGTCAAACGGATTGATATCGGAACCCGACAGCATGGTCGCTAGGACCAAATACTTCAGAACCTGGATTCGTTGGAGTGATCCAGCCTCATCGTAGTTTTTGAAGCTCTCAAAGAAGTCACTCTGCGCGCCCTTCCAGTTCTCTTCGCTCATGTGCATTTTGCCACCACATTCTCGGATAATACCCATAATCTTGGGGTGTGGAACCGCGGATTTGACCTTGAGCGCTCGTTGGTAGAGTGCCTGTCATGATGTTAAAGATAATGCAGGTAAGGTTGAATGGAGACGAGCCGTACCTTTAACCGCTTGTTATTCCTGGTCTCGGCGTACATCAGAATCTCTAGCGAGTAGACTTCCAGTGAGTATGTGCCTTTGCTCGGGTCGTCTGTTCCATCCTCCTTCTGACAGGCTTTGTGTAGCTCGCGGAGCTTCTCCGTAAGCTGACGGTAGTCCTTCCTGTCCAACCACAGCCTCGCGAGCTTGATGTTGGTCTTTAGCCAAAGCCGCTCGTTGTTGGTGCTCTGGAAGATATCGAGGGTCAGGGCGTAGAAGTTCTCCATGCAGCGATATGCATCGGCGTCCTCTGCGGCCTTTTCTATAAAATCGAGCATGTTGTTGATGGACTTTTCGGAGTAGTTGCGCGTGACGGCCGACTTGACGTAGGTCAGCAGCTCTTTGTAGTGCTCAACAGCCTACGAGCATTAGCTAGGGTTCATTCTTAGCCGTTGCCGTGTTTACCTGGTCGTAGCGGGCCAGCTTAAACTCCAGCTTGATTGCCTGCTTCAGTCCCTTGAAGCCCCTATGGATTCGTCAGCGTATATCCGTTCCCCCAGATTTCCATGTTTCCTACCAGTCCGACTTCTCTTCTTCTAGAGCAGGCATTCCCAAGAATTCATCTATGGCCGCCTCGGGATCGTCGGCCTTGAGCTGCTTCGCATTGTAGTACTTGTTCTCGATGTCGACATCGCCACTCTGCTCGTCATCATCGTCCTCGTATTCGAAGTCGTACCTGTAATATGTCAGAGGGCATGTCGCGTCAGAGTTGGCGGTTGCTACTTACTCCTCCTCGCCGGAGTCTTGCATGAAATCATCGTCGTCGGACATTGCTGTGCCGTTGGTGGTGAAGTGAAGAGTGAGGTTCGGGTCGTGTTCTTCAAGCTCTATCGAGGAGGCAGCGCAGTGATATCAAGTCGGTTGATAGAAGTGTGCGTCGAGTGTCTTGTTTAGAGCTCTCGCGACTGTTTGCCTACGTGAGGCGGCGGTAGGTGCCTGCGGAAGAGCCCCACTTTCGCGGGGCTAAGCTCCCCAGACGCAGCACCCATGAAGAGCATCGAAACCTTCCTTCTGCATCCACTCGAAGACTGCTGCAAAGTACTCTTGAGGCGTGGCTAAACTTGTGCTTATGGAGCTGGAGCAATGGTTCTATCTTCATATCGACTTGTGCACACTCTGTGCCCGACAGCAATCTCCGCTTCATCTCCCGGTCGCATTGACGCATTATTGATTTTGAATCAGTTCGGAGTGGAGTGAATCGGTGATTTTGAACATTCGCAAAGTCTCAGAGTCTGTGTCAGGCGTTCACAGGGCTGTGCAAGCATAATAACTCGAGTATAATATAGCGTGCAGCAGACGGCGAACGATGGCATTAGATAGCACATACTAAGCTCGCGACCTTCTTTTTTCGGTCCGGCTTCCAGCATGTGGAGAAGGCTCAGACCCCGGGAACTCTCATCCCAGATCCATCCTCAACCACTCGCCGTCACTAGCAGATCCCTTAACTCGGTTCACGGTCACAGGCCGTCATGTTAGCCCTAACTATGAATTCTTCAAGATTCTAAGGTCTTGTCCGTGGCACTTGCTCTTGGCCTTTCCCCACGCACACCAGCGACTTTGGCAGGCTTGTTGAGTATCTCGGGTGCAGTGTACTGCGCCTCAGCCGACAATTGCATAGTGCTACGTCCGTGTCGATGCCCAAATGCGTAGTGTCGAAGCCGTGGAAGGGTTGCGGAAGTGAGCAGTACTAGCCGTCCTTTTAGGCCTAGCTTTAGCGACGTGGGTGGATCTTCAACTCCATCCATCCATCGCTTGCATCTCCAGCCCAGCTTCTGGAACCCTCCCGGCTTAACTCTTAACTCCCACATCCTTATCATCCTCCGTCCGCTAAGAGTCCCCGGTGCAACTCTCACTCTCGCTCTCGTCCTCGCCGCGTCCGCGTCCGCTGCCACGATCGCGACCGTCGTCCTTTGTTGCACCAACGCGCGCGCGCTCTCTCGTCCCTGAGCCGACGGAACGAATCCATCGCCGAGTCTCCCTACGCGACCTTCACGATGCCCATGTGCGGTGGAACAAAGTCTGTGCAGCGCAAGCTGGTGCTGCTGTACGTCTCTCATATGCGCCGGCTCTCTTTGTTCGGGTAATCGACGCATGATGCGACAGAACAAGGCTAACGTACCTCCGACAGCGGTGACGGTGCATGCGGCAAGACCTCATTACTTAATGTATTCACAAGAGGGTAGGTACCAACGTTTTTGTGCGATATCTGGAGCTTACTGACTTATTAATAGTTACTTTCCAACAGTATAGTGAGTAATCTGCATAAAATAAACGCGCGCCCGAGGCTAACAAAGCCCTTTCAGCGAGCCTACAGTATTTGGTGAGGACTCTCCTCGCACTCTAGCTTTATACCGCTAACAAATCTTACAGAGAACTACGTACACGGTTTGTGCGCCTATTCACAAATCCCTATTTACACAATTGACGTGGCGCTACAGATATCTACATCGACAACACACACGTCGAGCTTAGTTTATGGGACACCGCTGGACAGGAAGAATTCGACAGGCTACGATCGCTGAGCTACGATGACACCCACGCGATCATGCTTTGCTTTTCGGTACGATTATTCGCCGCCTTTGTGCCGAAACACTAACTTACAGGGCACAGGTCGATTCACCAGACTCGCTCGAGAACGTAGAAACGAAATGGGTCGGCGAGATAGCAGAGAACTGCCCTGGTGTTAAGCTCGTTCTGGTTGCACTCAAGTGTGACCTGCGGAAAAAAGAAGATGACGACGCGGATGACCAACAGCCCGAGAAGCCATGTATCGACTATAATGAGGGTCTTCGCGTAGCAGAGAAGATCAAGGCTCTGCGATACTTGGGTAAGTTGTGTCAATTTTGAAATCAACGACAGCCAGTTGACATGTCTAGAATGCTCTGCCATGAAGAACCGAGGTGTCAACGAGGCTTTTACCGAAGCCGCCCGTGTGGCTCTGCAAGTCAAGACTAGCAAAGACAAGAGCGGCGGTTGTACCATCCTATAGGCCGATGACACCCTCTCGCTATCCTTCCTGAACACAACCCTACTACTACAAAGTACTGGCTCTGGTCGCACGCTATCAGCACCTCGACGGAAGTACACGACACCCAGCTCCTGTCATCACACCATTTTCACTGTATTCGCGTCGCCCAACTTCCTCTTCGTACTTTCACCCTATCGCTAGTTCTGTGCTTCTTGGGAAAAGGTGGCAAACTGTTTGATGTCGGTCCAAGTCCAGCTGGATGAGACGCATACTCAGAATGGGAGCACGGATTGGCTAGTAGTGCTCCCGGCATAGACCTTCCCCTTACCCCTTTATACCGCTTCGACGCTCTTATATTTTTATTGTACATGTTTGCTCCAGTACAGCTTCGGCGCTGGCTCCCTTCACTTCTTTCCTTGGTTTGGCGAGGTCTATATGCGTTCACGCTCTCGGCGGTGAGAGCGTTTTGGATAGATGAGCTGAGTTCGAAGGGCTTTCAGGATCGATGTCATATTGTTTAGAAAACTGCCAGACAGCTTACGCTCTTCAAACACACAAGTCCAATACTTTGAGTGGATTTCTAAATACCGGTTGTGAAGAAGCTCGAGGCTTTCACGATGCACTCTCCTCTACCGGAACCTCTGCGACCTTCTTAACTACCCTAGCTGGTTGTCCCATGACAACACAGAAGTCTGGCACATCCTTTGTCACAACACTCATCGCTCCCACCGTAACTCCTCTCCCTATCGTCACTCCGGGTAAGATGACTACGTTTCCACCAATCCAGCAGTCATCACCAACCACAACAGGCTTTCCATATTCGATGTTGTCCCGTCGCGATTGCACTTCCGCCTCATGTGTAGCCGCGAAAATGGATACATTAGGACCAAACATACACCGATCCCCTATCGTTACAAGCGAGCAGTCTAGGATAGTCAAATTGAAGTTGGAGTAAAAGCGTTTGCCCAAGGAGATGTTGCAGCCATAATCGATGTTGAATGGCGGTTCGATGAAGATGTCGTCGTCGGCTACATGGCCAATGACCGTTTTGAGCATTCGAAGACGTTCTGCGGCGAGGATGTCGAAGCCTTTTTCCGAGTCGGTTGTTTCGGGGTCCGGGAACCATGTGTTATATTTATTGGCAAAAGCTCTGGCTTTGAAGCGCGCGGCATTCAAGGTGGGACTGAAGGCATTGTAGCTGTAATTGTGTTAGTTATGTGGAAAAGTGAGGAGATGAATCCTGTATTATGTGCTTCGAATGTCGGATGAGTTGCACATAGCACTAGTTATACTGCGTTGTGAGGGTATCTGCTATTTCCGATAACAACAGTATCTTCCAGGTGTACTTCAGGATAGCCCAATGAAGTAATGCTAGGGAATTGGATAAGAGGCTTTTTACATACAGCATCCCAGAGATCATCTTCTCGTATTCCTCGCACCAGGGTACATGATTCAGCTTCTTCGCCGTCTCTATCTCTTGCGTATTCTTCTCCTTTGATGCCATGTCGAACGATAAATCAGCCGTAGTTTGAGTGATGGTATTATTCTCTTGTCTTCATTGCATCTGGTCTTTACCCTTATAAACAGAAGCAGAGTATACGGTAGCCTTGGAATTGACGCTAAGTGGGGTAAAAGGACAAGTAAGGAAGCAGCCCCAGATGCAATGGGGTAATACCTCGCACTTTAGCGCTGACCATAACTCAGCTGGAGCAGATGGGCCACACAGAAAACGTACTGTCTGTGTTTCCACATTCCTGGTCAGCAGCGAGTGTTCCACAGTTTGCGGCACGACTTCTGACCAGTGAGAGCTCACTTGCATCCTCGAACTGGGAAGATCTCCTGTGTCGTGTGCTTGGATACATCATATTACCTATTCGGCCCGATCTGGACGCTGTCTTTTGCCTTTGCTTTGGAGATGCAGTTCGCTATACAGTCGAGGACAAGTCACTGATCTTACTGTAGCTGTATGCAGGGGAATTACATCCCTTCACTCGTTTTCGGACACTCTTTCTCGATATGTGCTTCTCCCAAGAGCTTTATGAGTCTTTGTAGATGTATGCTTGAATGCGAGCGATCTTTTCATGTTCGAATCACGTGGGCATTTTGCCGCCCTAGAAGGAACTCCGTCATCGATCAACAGCACGCAGTCACAACGACACCTGCAGCGATCAATGCAGACATGAGTGAATGCCAGAACATGATCAGGCTTAACAAAGCATTTAGAAAGGTCTTGCAGTTTCGAGAACAGTGAATGCAAACCGATGTGCACGGACCGCCAAGAATCCTAGCGCCCTCGCTAATGAATGTGTGGCCGCTGGATGTCGAAATTGATTCCCCTCTCCAGCCGTCTCGACTCTCGCGCCCGATTCAATCGACTTCAAGCCATCAACGACAATCAACCAAACCAAGAGACTCTTCATAAACCGTCAAAATGGTGAGTTTGAGCCACCGAGGGCATTTAGGAGCGCGCGAGAGGGGTCTGTGAGCGGGCACACGAGACTCTCGGAGTTCGCCACTGCATCTCGAATTTGCAACCTCTCGTCGCCGTGCCTTGCGCCCCAGATGTCTCTATGAAGATTTTGAACTAACCGGGCTCCAGGTTCTCGCAGTTGACCTTCTCAACCCTTCCCCGGCCGCGTACGCACATATTCCCGCCTCTTCGCCCTCGACCTGCGACTAACAAGTGTCTAGTGAGGCCCGCAAGCACAAGCTCAAGACCCTCGTGCCCGCTCCCCGCTCCTTCTTCATGGACGTCAAGTGCCCCGGATGCTTCACCATCACCACCGTCTTCTCGCACGCCAACACAGTCGTCGTCTGCCAGGGCTGCTCGCAGGTCCTGTAAGTCTAGGACAATCGGACATGGAATCAGGGCATGGGCTAACGCATTCACAGGTGCCAGCCCACTGGTGGCAAGGCGCGATTGACCGAGGGCTGCTCTTTCCGAAGGAAGTAAACGTTTCGTCGGAGTGATGACAGCTGGGATTGATGGGTTACGATGACGACTATCATGGCTTAGGAGTGTAGATCTCATTGGCGCCGATCGACTCGACCGCAGGATAGAAGAGGGATCTTTCGACCCGAGTCAATGCAAAAGTCACAAAAACGGGAGTTCCGGATATCTCAGCGCTGATGGACAACCCTTTTTCCTCGAATCTATTTCCTTTTGTTCGGCATGGTCTTTCGGCTTTCATGTACATGCATGTGGGAGGAGAGATAGCATTTCAGAGCCTTTGGATCAGTCGTCCGAGGTGAGGACCGGCTTGCAATCGAGGATACCTACGCATGCTAGCGGTCCTTTGTAAATCAAAGCGTCAAATCCTCACATTCATTTCACACACAACTAAGGTGAATCTTGGCCTCTCTGTTGGATGCCATGTACACGTGCGTACCACGTCGTTTTGCAATACTCTAACTTGTTTGATGTGCTCAACGCTTCACTCCGGATCCTTTGTAGACCCCATACCAAGCCTTACAGATTTGATACCTCCGTGACTTACTAGTATCGCAAAAAGCCTTGCTCTTTGCCTAGAATAGAAGGACATCATTCTTGGCTAGATTTTCTGCTGTCAAAGTGGGGAAGCGTGGCCGAGACCCCCTGGCCAGTTCATGGCACCTTCCCTACGCCTGCCCACATGACTGGCAAAACGCCGACCTCCGCCAAAACACCAATTCTCATTGATAGTAGTCGATACGGCCGTCACTTTTAAAGACAGGAGGCAACGCCGCTGCATAACTGTTCGTCTAATTTCCTTATTCCAATTAATGGTTGGACACGAGTCGAGTACAAGCCACCTCACGTCATCGTCAATACAGCCATTCGCACGTTCGTTCGCTCGCGCGTCCCCGCGGCTTCCATTCCGAGTGGCACTAAAATAGATCCGTCAATAATCAAGATCAATATCAACAAACACGCGCCAGCGCGTCGTGAAAAAATGTCTACCTCATCATCAGCAGGCGCGGGAGGACCAGTTCCGTCAAACCCCCACCCCATCCCCTTGACGGAATCTGAAGTTCTGATCCGCGGATTCCTCGCTGCTAACCCGGAGCTCGGCGACGATAAATCGAATCCTATCGAGATGATGACCGATCGGTATACTAACGAGGAGTGGAAGGCGCAAATCGATGAGACCATCAAGAATGTTATGAAAGAGGTGGACAGTGGAGAAAGGGCTAAGAAGGTTTACGAAGGCCCAAGGATGAGGAATGGAGAAGAAGCGCTGAAAGAGTTGGCTAAGACGGTGGATCATACCGTGCTCAAGTTGGATGCGACGACAACCGCTATCGATGGGCTGTGTAGTGAGGCAAGGACGGAAAACTTCAAGGTGTGTCCATTCCCAGAGAATTGAGGCTGGTCGTTCGAGATAAGGAAGAGTTATATTGTTAGGCTATGAGGTTGCAAGACACGCGCTATGCGCCACGGTATTCAGAAGCCTCCGACTGACAAGCTTTACAGTCAGTCTGCGTCCGCCTCAACTACGTCCAACGCTGCGTTTCCAACCTCAAGGGCACTGACGTCCTCGTCGCCTGCGTCGTCGGTTTCCATGAAGGAACCCAAGACACATACTACAAGCTGCAAGAAGCACGTGCCGCCGTAGCAGCGGGTGCCGCAGAACTCGATGTCGTCCTCAACTATTCCTTACTCACCAAGCACAACCGACCTGCTTCCCCACCAGCAGACCACATGCTCACCGCCCGTGACTCAGCAATTGACAGCATCACCGCTGCCAACACAGCCATCAACGCCGGAAGCAGCGACATTGAAGAAGAAGAAACAGGAGAAATCCCAGACTACAGCGCCATATACAGGGAATTGGCTAGCATAAGAAGTCTCTGCCCTGCCCCTACAACACTCAAACTCATCCTCGAAACTTCGCAATTGAATTCTGCCCAGATTCTTGCGGCGTCTCATCTTGCCGCTGCCGCTAGCTTCGACTTTATCAAGACATCTACAGGCTTCAACGGTCCGGGCGCTAATCTTCCCAATGTGAAGCTCATGGTAGCTGCGGCAGAGTACCTTGCATCGCGTAAAATAGGCAAGAAGAAGATGGAAGTCAAGGCCAGTGGTGGAGTCAGGGACTTGGACACTGCGGTGAAAATGCTAGAGGCTGGCGCAACGAGGCTGGGAACTAGTTCAGGCCTGTGGATCATGCAGGAGGCGAGAGCCAAGGTAGGCGAGGAGAGGGTTGCGGCTGGGTTGAATTCTGAGGGCAGGAGACCTAGCCCGGTCACGCGGTTATACACCGATGAATCTGAGTACTAGAGATATCAAGTAGTAAAGAGAAAATTCAGACACTTGATCAACAGCTTGCACAGCGGGGGTACACTCGGTCATTGTTGTACTACTTGAGCTGCGACATGAGTATGTGGTAGGCTAAAGATGTTCGCTACGTCTTGTAAGTCAGAGGCAGCAAATACTTTAAAGGTGCAATCACTTTATTAGGAGGAAAAACTAGATACATCTTAGAGTACACCCTGCCTCGCCCCACTACAACAATGTATGTTGAGCGATATAGTACAGATGTAAAGGATCAAGAATCCTACAATGCTATCAGTCTTTATAAGTTTTCTAATTTAAAGCTAACGTAGGCTGCAAGGCAAGGCATATTGTCTCTGTACTTGTTTCATCTTCCTCTTGTATGCGGTGCAATACTGGGCACAAGTAAAGCATAAAGCGGATACTCTCTTGCACTGTCTGACCTAGGGTACATTCGTACACTCTTGGTCGGATTGCCAATCATGATACGGAGGTCTGCACAACATCACGGACATTATGAGCAGATAGAGACAGACGATGGCAGTTGAAAATTTTGGGTAGTGTCTACATGATGTATATGTAGATCATCCACCAGCCCAGACCCACAAGGGATATAGTGCTTTCAAGGACAGGATAACTGTCGAAGAGATTCATCCCGTCATGCCGAACGCCGATCATCCGTGAATCATTCCTTTTGACGTGTAATCTACTCCTCGTCCTCCTCGCCAGCATCCTCGTCACCACCCTTCTCAGCGGCCTTGGCCTTCTTCCTCCTGACACGGCCAGGGCGGCCGCCACCGAATGGCGAAGTCAGAGCGAAGTCGATGTGCTTCTGGGAGTCGAGGCGGACCATGAAGGAGGGGACGTTGACGATCTGCTTGCCGACGCTGTGATGTTGTTAGTCGCACGGTTTTTGATCAATTGAGGGCAGATGCATACCGGATGTGGCGCTGGCGGATCAGGACACGAGCGTGGTGGATAGACTTGGCAAGACCGAGCTTGTAGACGCAGGTCTGGAGACGGCGCTCCAAGAAGTCCTCAATCTTGAGGGCCAAGACGTAATCGAGCTTCATGCGGGACTCGTCAAGGACACCGACACGTACGAGACGGCGAATGAGAGCGTTACCCTCGAAGAGGCGCTTGGGGTCCTTCTCGTCGAGAGTAAGAAGCGAACTGGCAAACTGTTAGCGGATTCATATCTCGCACACTGCGCATCAATTCAATTGCGCGGAGGCAGTTGCAATGAGAACTTACCGAGCGGCACGACGGATCTTGGACAGAGTCAACTGGACGCGCCAGACCTCACGCTTGTTGCGGAGACCATACTCGCCGACGAGCTTCAGCTCGGTATCCCTAATCCAACATTAACTTGTGTTCCAGACATAAGCGGAGCACGCTCTCGCTCAGTGGCCATGGAGTATCACATACAGACGAGCGGACTCGAAAGGACGACGTGGGACGCTGTACGTCTTGGAGTAGGAACGGGGCGCCATTGTGGTTGTCGAGGTGGAAGAGTCGAAGTTGGAATTTTGGTTGTCGATGAGGGAAGTGAATTTCGGGCGGAAGGTGCGAACGCTCGGACCACCCCGAGCACTTAGCGCAGCTAAGCGATCCCAGCCCACGACGAAATAGAGATTCATTGTTCAACATCAACCTCAAACTCGCCGACTAACAAACCAGCCCAAACTCACACACAATGGGTCACGCAGCCGGTCTCCGCGCGGGTACGCGCTATGCGTACGTTGAGAATTATTGTGACACCAATGCGACGATTGCAATTGCTGACGCTGCGACAGTTTCTCGAGGGACTTCAAGAAGAAGGGTATGATCCCTCTCTCGACCTACCTCAAGCAGTACAAGGTCGGTGATATCGTCGATGTCGTAGCCAACGGTACGAAACCCCCAGAAAGCCAGCGAGAGCGATTCAAGGCGGAGGACTCATGAGCAAACAGGTGCGGTCCAGAAGGGTATGCCCTACAAGGTCTACCACGGCAAGACCGGTATCGTCTACAACGTCACCAAGTCCGCTGTCGGTGTCATCCTCCAGAAGCAGGTCGGCAACCGATACATGGAGAAGCGCATCAACGTCCGCATCGAGCACGTCCGCCACTCCCGCTCACGAGAGGACTTCCTCAAGCGCGTCAAGCTCAACTTCGCCAAGCAACAAAAGGCCAAGGAGACTGGCGAGCCCCAGCAGATGAAGCGCCAGCCCGCCCAGCCCCGCACCGAGCACATTGTCAGCCTCAAGGAGCAAAAGCCGGAGAACATCACACCCATCCCTTACGAGACCTACATTTAGACGTGGACAGTTGGCTCGGGTGTATTGGCTGGCAAAATGGGATACGGATGGTCAACGGCGTGGTTTCTCGGACTTCTCGATTATTCTCTCTTTCTGCACTTTCTTACGCATGGAAAGCGGCGATACCATGGTGCAGATATAGTGGTGTGCCAACATGGCTTTGAGTGACCCCTCACGCCAATAAACATCATCTTCCAATCCCAGTCAATGCAGTGTCTTGCTCGTCTGTAGTGTTAGCCATTGCTGTTATGACCGCCTACGACAAATGAACGCTTTCCACCACATTCCGCACTCTGACATAATATCCCTGGCTTTTCACTGCCTATTCACTCTGTCGTCCTGTACATGTGCCACTACATGCAGGTCTGTTCTTGTTTGCTTCGTAGTTTTCAGCTCTCTGCATAAGCAGTTCATACATTTCCTTCTGGATCGCAGGGCTTATAAGGTTGACAATAGGCAATGTACTCTCACATAATGTACCGCGAAGTTACTCACTTGGTTCTACCCTGCTTTGCCTTGGGCACGTAATAGAGTGTAGCAGACATCTCTAGGGTACAATTTGGTGCTGACTAGAATCAACGAAATAACGCGAGTTCAATGAAAATCAAGGCATGAATTGACAGCAGCCTCTGGAATGCTCGCCTCTACGGTGTCATGGTGTCTTCCTATTACCAGAACATCCGCGGTTAGTACTAACTGTGTTAGCCTACGCTTGGGCATGCTCGACTCTGACCTATCCAAGACCGTGTTAAAATATTGCAACCACGATGATCTGGCTCGGAAAGTGCAGCTTAGTAACAACGGTGCCTGTTCTATCTGTGTCATGTCTACTTAGTCTCAGTATGCACTATTCCAGGCTAAACGGATATGCACACAGTCGCAACCCAGGTTCTTGTGCGGCCGGCTCCTGAGGTCTGTTTGCATCGGTTGGTGGTGCTCAGATGGTAGATTACATCATGCCTTCTATTCTCCACCGTTTGCTTGCCAACGGAAGTCACACCCTCACACTCTGTTTAGTTCCTCGATAACTCAACTCGCTAGCGTAGCTTATGCACCATCCCATGTCGTAGATGTGGTCTGAAAGTTGGACGGGTAGCCGCCTTCGTAAACAGAAGCACAACCGGAAACCTTCCTGACATCGTCCAGATGCGAAACGTACCTTGAAATCTTGAAAGCATAACACTGGTTGGTTTGACGGTAAAAGTAAACCTTATCGTTCCTGGGGGTCGGATGAGCTACCGCGTTTGGATTGTAGTAATGCTCTTACGCCTGGACACAATCACTGCAAGTTGCCTCAGTCGTTCATCACACGATCGAGCGTGCTTCCTTGTCTACCCGTTACATCTTGTGTGGGCTTCGAACGCAGGGTAAGGATGAGTTTTCGACCTCTATCGTTGCGCAAGTGGCGAATTATGTCATGTATGAGGATGTTAATGAATGCTTTGTGATGACACACGATGTGCTTTCCTTGATGTCTCTAGTCTCGGCAGTCTGTTCGGCTTCGATACATTACCTTTCTGCTCGGAAAGCGCCGCATGACTTTGACACCGAAACTGACGCAGGAAATAAGAGCACCAACTTGCTTATCAGCATCCCACAAACTCAATATGCGTTCTACCTTCTCTGGCACATTATCGCTCCTTCTCTTCTCGCACACGTCGCCGTCGGCCCAGTGCGCAAGTCAATACCGTTGTTGTAGTGCTCTAAACAGCAGTATTTGCCTAGTAAACATTGTTGGAACGGTGCCATATTGATGGGATTCAGGCGCCTCGCAAGGCAGCCACTTCTTGATATTCGGATATTTGAGTTGCCAGGACTCTTTCTAGATTGGATGGGTATCACCGAGAATATCGCACAACTGAATTCATCGTACGATCAAGTTCAGAAAGTGGCCGAGGGAGGAACACAAGATAACATTTGAAGGGACTTAGCGTGGTAGGTAGTCCCGTACCGTCGAGCAATGCCACATTGCGCCGCGGTCCTCCGCATAACCACCGAACACATGCTCTGCTGCTTCCACCAATTGCCTCGTCCGCCAGGGAACGCTAGTTTGTTGTGCTCCCGCAGTTCTTTTCTCATCGTTACCAAGTGGCTTTACCCGAGCTAAAGCCTTGTAGCGCATTCACATGATTGACTTTCTTGTGCAGGCCGATAAGACAACACAAACATTGCTTGAAATTAAGGCCTTGATCGGCTGTGGGACACACCAAACGGCTGTTAGGTCTCTATTCTCGTAATGAGGTCTTCTTCATGGGAAAAGGGCATTCATGGTGGGCATTGCTGGTCAAATGATGCTACCACTCAAACTACCCAAGTATCCAAGAAGTCGGATCCTTGAGTGCGGCAACCTTGTATTGAACTCTCTTGTGATCTTCCAATCTGTTCGCCCATGCTTTTGAACAACCTCCGGCGTGCCAACAGATAGGACTGGAGACGCATGAACATCTTTCGGACGGAAAGGTGATATGTCTGGGTAAGCGACAGTACGCTCTTCTTGTCGTCTGATATTACTATATGTGTCCAGTATTCGCTCCGACTGACATTATAAGAAAAAACTAATCTAATTGGCAGGAGTATCGGAGTGACATTGAAGAGTATCGGAGAGATATTGTGATGTGCTGCACGTGACCGTCCAGGGCTCGGCGCTGTGGAAGGTTTGATTTGGACTCTATCGGCTGCTACCGACGCGTATCTGAGATCAGTACTAAAATGACGTGAATGTGAAAGTCAACTAGGAGAGCGAACCCAGGGAATCGTGTACCCGAGCTGCGAAGGTTTCCTAGATTCAGGGGATTCCATCGATTTCCTTTGCCTCGAAGCTAAGAATGAAGGCATCTAGATTCCGGATCTAGGCGCATCTTTTTGTTGGCTGCGAGTGGGCGGAGTGAGCCTTTTGGTTTGGCGCATATTGAGTGCGCAGTTGGCTGCACAGTGTGGCAATGAAACATTAGGCTTCCAAGTTTCGTTATGCATCTAGTGGAGGTTAGTCGACACTGTCAACGAAGAGGGCATGACGCTGCCACGCGACGCTGTCTGCGCAACTTCAGCCCACATTGCACGAGCCAGCGCCGACCCACACACGACACGTGCCGCGCTGACATCGAAGCTCGTTCTCCACCACCCGCAAAAAGGAACGATGGCCCCTCGGACAATAGCACAAAAGTGACCCAGCCGAAGTTTTCGGACATTAACACGCCCTGCATCGACACGTCGAGGCCAGCAACAGCTACCGTGGGTCCACAGCTCGTAACAGATCATTACACGTCATGCTGTAACGTTGTCGGCTCGGTTGCAGTAGCGGAATAACAGACAAAGTTAATTCGCCGCTGAGACGCCGTAAAGCTCAACACCAGAGCACCCTTCGTCTGGAGTGGGGTTACATATCCATGTCCCTAGAAAACCATTTCATGCAAGGGACTTCCGCAAAAGAAGATCTGCGCTGACGCAAGCTTGCGAGTAATGCCCTGCATACCACTTTAGGCATCGTCGAGTCAGATTGTAATCTGCAAATGTCGAATCCGAGCGACTTTACAATCCGAAAGCGATAGCGTGGTGTGAAGATGCAATCGGTGCCAGTCGGCCATGAGCAGAAAGAGTGATATATTGTCTAATATCGAGCCGCAAACCTGGAGAATGAACCCGTTCCCCTAGCGCAAAAGTTACGGGAGGCACGACAAGTTGACAACTGACAGCTGAAGAGAGACTGTCGGAAGAACCTCCATCAGGCTGGAATGGCACCCCGAGATTATCGTAGTCGTCGTCGTATATGAAGCACGGGCAGCAGGAAATCTTTGGATGCACAGATCACGACTGCACCTGGTTAGACCGAAAACCTGGTGTTCCTTCAGCAAAGGTGTCCAGGATCATGACAGTTACAAAAGTCGGATAAGAATACCGACCCACGGAACACATCACGATGCAGACCGCGGGAGTCTTTCTAGCCATGGCGGTCTGAAGATTTGCGCAGGGATCACCGGTTGTTGTAAAGTATGCCGCGAGGTGCACAAAACAAAGTATACTTGCGGCGGATGCGGGGGTTGGTTATGCGCGACCAACCTCCTAACTTTGTTCCAACTGCGACGACCGCGACAACATCGACGTCTTCGACTCTTCGACGATACTCACAGATCCATCGTAGATCTCAGCTTGCAGTGTTGTTAGCGTATAAAACATCGATATCAACTCGTACCCCTGTCTTAATACGCGACCCTATTTGAGGACTTCAAGCCTCAATCTTCGATTCTTCGCAGCGGAAGGCATATTTCACGATCGCCGACATCTCAAGCGTGCCTGCATTAGTCCATACTATCGGCGCAATCGGCATCCTTGCTGCCGGAACATTAGCCTACCAGACTAAATCGATCTTTCTGGTGCCCAAAGCAGACGCCAGCGAGTCGACGTCTTAGCAGCAGCAGCCAGGCGACCGACTAGTACCAAACTACTCGGAGACAAGGGACCTATTGAACGTGTCAGGTTTTACTGGGTTCTCCGGTATGTTTACCTTCCAGATACTTTCTCTCCGTCATCGATCTGCGTCTTCTTCCCCAATACGCTGTCGTTGCCGCACTCCATTTATCAAACTTCCGCACTTGTCCCTTTTGTTTTTGACGTTGTGCGGCATTGTAGCCGTCCACGATTCTAATGGCCATGTTTAAGAACAAGATGCGATCAGCACACGGGGTGTTCTCTTCCAAAAAGTCTTCTGACGCTGCTAGGAAATCAAACATCACTATCAATTCAGCCAAAATGGGGAGCTCAACCGAGTTGGCCCCAGCGTATGTCGATAGCGTCATGGCTCCCGATACGGATGCCAACCCCAATGTCAACGGCAGTGGCGGTGCGTTTAATGAACCGCTGGTCCTCGACTTCGCGACCATGCAAGATGCGTCTAATTCGATTACAAGGAGTGCCCCTCTTTCACCCGTCACTAGACCGGTTGATCCCGAGCGACATGAAAGTTGGCTTTCGGATGACGATACTTCTGCTCCTGCACCCCAGATAGACTTTACAAGAAAGGATATCCATATCCCTTTCCGGACCAGGTACTACTTCAACTACCCTCCAGACAATTGGTTTTCATTGCTCATTCTCCAACAGTTCCGTCACTCCTCGGGCCACCCAAAAGCGTATATCGTTGCAAAGACGACTGAGCGCTGAGCCATCATCTCCTAACAACGGACGTTCGACACCGACACCAGACATGCAACAGTCTCGTGCTCGAAGCATGTCACGCACATCTAGTGCAGTGCCGCAAAACGTGCAGTCATCACGAATTACTACTAATGAACCAACAACGATACGAAGTTCGGCAGACTCTGTGATATCATACGAGTCTGCTGCACCATCCATTACAACTCAACAACTTGCGCCGTTGCAGCAGAAAGGTGGAATGATAGATGACGGCGATCGACTTTCGCCATTACTGGAAGACGACCCTCATTCATTCGACCTTGTCAGCGCACCCGTCGAGAACGCGAGATCCCAATACTCGCTCGAAACCAGATCTGAGCAACTCTTCTCAAGGGAACATCTGCAGGCCATCTTTGCCGACACTGCGTCACTGCTTCGATTTACGTCCTTTCTGAGCGTGGCCCGTCCCAATTCACTTCCTACTTTGATCTACTACCTGGATGCACTGAAAGCGCTAAGAGCCATCAGCTATGCCAACGCCGTTGCAGAAGCGCTGGAACCCATCCCTGGCCTAGACTTCACCGAGACTCCAGCACGAAATACAATGAACGCAGTCCTGGAGGAAAAAGCCAATCGGGCCTTTGATGTCCTGGTCCGTGACGATCTTCCGGCGTTTATTACGCACGTCTTCACCCAAGTCGTTAGCGTGAGCATTGCGAAGCGCGTCACAGGGAATTTACCTCCGATGCTTCGTGAGGCTAGCGAGGGTTTGGCCGAAGTTTTCTGCCTGACAGACCCGTCCAGGACCGACAATCCGATCATCTTCGCGTCCGAAGGTTAGTGAACCTCGCCCACATGGAAAATGAGCATCTGCTAATCTGATACTAGAATTTCATCGTACGACGCAGTATGGCGTTGGGTACGCGATTGGGCGCAACTGTCGTTTCCTCCAAGGTCCAAAGACGAATCGGAGCAGTGTAGAGCGTTTTGGAATGGCTGCTCGGGAAGGAAGAGATCACAGTGAAGTGTTCCTGAACTAGTAAGTAACTCGTATGACCTTGTGTGTTTAGCACATTGTTAACCACACAACAGTCGCCGTGATGGATCGCCATTTATGAATCTTTTGATGATTGCGCCTCTACTCGACTCACGAGGGAATCTCCGTTATTTCATTGGCGCGCAAATCGACATCTCTGGTCTTGTGAAGGACAGCACCGATCTCGAGGCTTTCCGGCGCATGCTTGACGAGGAAGAGGGTCACAAAGAGAAGGAGCCGCCGAAAGATGAGTTCCAAGCACTCAGTGAAATGTTCAACAACACGGAGCTGGACACAGTGCGGAAGTATGGCGGCAACATGCATAGGGAACATCTAGAAGAGCAGGACGAAGCGAATATGCAGCACAAGCCCAGACTGCTGATACAGGATCAGTCGACGTATGACGTGGATAGGGCTGAGAAGCCAGCACCCAAGCCAGAAGGTAGGCTGTCTGGTCCGTACAAACATGTGAGTGGCCGCCCCTTTGTGTGAGATGATACAAGACTGACATAGACTAGTACCTTGTTGTGCGCCCAGCGCCATCCCTGCGCATCCTCTTTACATCGCCGTCCCTTCGTGTTCCAGGCATCCTCCAATCACGGTTCCTCGATCGCATTGGCGGGAGCAACCGTGTCCGAGAGTCTCTCAGCGACGCGCTTTCAGACGGGTCGCGCGGTGTTACGGCGAAGATTCGCTGGCTACCGCACGCCGTGTCAGACCTCGAAGACCATTACGAAGAGGGCCGACCCCGGTGGATACACTGCACTCCTTTGCTCGGTCAGAACGGATCAGTGGGCGTATGGATGGTTGTCCTCGTTGACGAGAAAGAGCACATTGCGCCGCATCGTAGATTCCGCCAGGCACCGCCTATTCCTAACGACATCCGCGGCAACAACCTAGCGCAAACCTCGCGACCATACCAAACTCCCCGGTTCGACGACTTTGGCAACGAAACCAGCTCGTATTCCCAATCTTCACGTGGAGCGTCTCCTTACACGAACGGCTATGCGAACGGCAATGGCGTATCCCGTCACCTGGATGCATTGCGCAACCCATCAAGTCCGCACCGGGCGCAAAGCCCAATGAGTTACGACCAGCGCGGACTGCGGTCGGCTGGTTCATCGGTCAAGGATTATGTCAATGGTCCCCAGGCCAGTGTTGACTCTTTCCGCATCTAACCTTGCTGACTTCCGTTCAGGAAGAGGAAGAGATAGCCGTGGCAACGGCAACGCCTGTGCGTGTGGAAAAGAGAGATGGGGCAACGAGAATATACTAAAGTGGAGCGGACTTTGGATTAATAACACATGAAAGACGAATGACGGATATATAGACCGGGTGGTCGGGCGGTACTGCGCTGTTGTTGATTTGCTCTATACCCATTCTGTAACAATAGCTTAGACATGGCACTGATGTCAGCAACGGATTTCATATGTTGATAAGTCATAATATACCTTGTACGAAATCAGGGTTAGCATGTCGAGGTGAAATGACGGTGCAAAAGCAACCAGCGAGTCTAAGCGAGACTTGCCCGCGGGAGTGCCGCCATGCATCATCTCTCTAACACGTCGCACCCACGCCCACCCCACTACCATCCTCGACGTGTCGCTACGTGCCAGCACAGGCCTATACGGCAGAATGGCGACAATTCGGCCCATGCGCCCTACCGACCTCCTTCGAGTATCCGAATGCAACCTCGACCACCTCACCGAAACGTACAACATTGGTTTCTACCTCGAGTACCTGACAAAATGGCCTGAGCTTTGTCAGATAATAGAAGGCATGGACGGCGAGATTGAAGGCTACAGTACGACTCCTGAGACTTTCTCATTCCACATGTCATGTCTGAAGATGATGGAGCAACACTAACAAAACGCCAGTCCTAGGCAAACTCGAGTCCTCGCCCTTCGAACCTCCAATAAAGCCCTACAAGCCCTCGACCACCGGCGTCCAATACCCAAACTACCTCCCCTACCACGGTCACATCACCGCCCTCACTGTTGCGCCCGGCGCGCGCCGACTCGGCCACGCAACGGCGTTGTCGTCTGCGTTGGAGCGCTCGTCCGACGCAGCAAACGCATGGTTCGTTGATCTGTTTGTGCGCAGGAGCAATGAGATTGCCAAAGAGCTATATCGCAAGATGGGATATAGCGTTTACAGGGCTGTCAAGGACTACTACAACGATGGCGAAGACGCGTTGGATATGCGGAAGAGCTGTAGTAGGGATAAGGATGGGGAGTGCGTCAGAGTCGACGGGGAGAAGTTCGAGGTCAGCGCCGAGGACGTATGGTGAGGTCATGGATGGGTTTGAACATGGTTTGAAAAGAGCAACAAGAGTTTGGGTGGGGGAATTGGAAGACAAGGTTATGAGATATACCCCGGTGTTATAGAATACCGTCATGGACGAGAGATGCCGAATCGGTATTGCCTTTGGAGATTGGATGGTGTAAGTGGTCTGCGGCTACCTTCCTTGCGACTGCTGACAGGAGAAAAGATCCGACTGCTGGCGATCCCGTATCCTCCTTACGAAATACATCACAACATGATTGATGCACCAATGCACATACTTTGGTCCCGCCCAACTCGAGGTTTGCTGACGTGATCCAATTCTGGGTCTGAGATCCATCCTTTTCAACATGTTTTCATCAAACCTTTCCCTAACTTAGCCGGGAACAGCATGACACCTTAAACTCTCAATCTCAAAACCAAACTTCACATCCCCGATCATCTTACGATCCGTAGCGCTTCCCTCCTTTCGCCGCGGACCAGTTCTGTCTGAACAGTCGTCACCATCCCAAAACATGCACTCGAAGTAACGTTCCACAACTAGGGAGCGGATGGGCCACGGGATTTCGGAATGTCGAATACAACGATCGACGTCAAATGAAGTACCTTTTCCGCGTATGCTTGTCTCTGGGAAGATGAGGATGCGGAAAGGCGATTGGGTTTGCCGCGCTGCTAGCTGGTTGGTAATTGTCCTGCTGGCGGAGGGGTTGTCGACTGTGGACGGAACCTGAGGGAACACTGGCGGGGTTGGCAACATCGTATCCGAAGTTGTGGTTGACCAAATGTAGCTGTTAGGGACCGGCTTAGAACTGACGAGCGATGGTTTCCGAGGGCTGCTCTCCGGGGTGCAGTGCGGTGTGGGGTTGTCGATGCAGGTTTCCTTTGCAAGACACTCGCTCACGATCTGGGTGTTGCCATTCTTGCACGTGAGGATTCTGAAGACATCGCTGTTGGCTCCAGAGGAGTCTAGGCAATACAGTCCTTCTTTGGTACATCCGGTGGGGACCGCAGTGAATGTGAGGCCGAGTACGCTAGAGAGGGCGTAGAAGAAGCCCAGTATCTTCATCGCGGCGGTCTCAAGTTTTCGTTGCTCACCAAGCGGTTCAAGTGGTAATCGCGAGTAGGGAGATAAGAGTAGCGGCCATAAGAGAAGCGGAAGGATTTATCCGTGTACAACCTGATTGGTGAAATGAGTCGGGAATAATGTGTAACCGTGGGACGTTCTGGGGGTACAAACGGAGGACTGGTAAGGCCCGTGCCTGCAAGGTAGGCGCTTCTGAACAATTCATCTCATGTTGGTAGAGATTCACAATGGATGCTCCGTCCAACAGCTTGGTAGCTCGGTCGCCTGAGATTAGTCTTGAGATAGAGAGGGAACCACGGCTGGGATCTACATCTTGAGGCGCATGTCCTTTCGAGGTTCTGCGTATACTTTGGTTGAACCCATTTCCAACAGATTAATAGAACCTATCAAGTCTTGGATTCGCTGTGTGACGATGGGTACTTACCGTGATGTCGTACTACCGAATAGACAATCGGCACGAGAGAACAGACCAGGACGACGAAAGCTTCAGTCTCATCTAAAATTGACTGAGACGCGTTTTAAATGCATTCTATTGCAGAGGAACAGCTTTCGGGTCTCTCACGGAAACTTTGTACGATCCTTCATCGTCGCTATCGGGAGTGTATTACTGGTCGTCGTTACCTGAAAAGCACAGAAAGATGCAAAAGCAGCAGCTTTATCTGCTCCTCTCACTTCGCATATAACTTAGTGATTGCGCGGTGTGAGTCGTTGCCTAACATCTAGCGCTATTGCCAGTACAGACTTACCTCACCTTCGACTCGACCTGTAGTCTCGCTCTGTACAAATGCCTCGTCTTAGTTTGCATCCCCTCGAATGTATACTTCCAGTTGTAACCAGTTCCAAGGCTACGAACACTTGTTGTCATTGAACCAGAAATTGAACACCACTTACTCTCCTCCAATACTATGAGCAGACGATCGAAGCTCAACAAACCACCACCACTGCCACAATACATACCTCGTCCAAGTTTCAAAATGACCGCCATACTCAAAGTCTCGCTCAATGAGTGGCAAGCGCCCCTGTCAGTTCAGCATCCATTCGTCGATCAGGTCCGAGAATCCGTGTTCAAGTATCGCCTCCAATCTGCGAGTTATTTTGATATACCAATTGAGGTATGCCAAGCAATTCACGAGGATAATCCCGAACGCTTCGTCGAACCTGACCAGAACTTCTTGCTCTACATCGGCTTCTACAACTTCGGCATCAGTCCAGTCCTCGCTGCTTGTCGACCCAAGATTCAGAAGCGCGGAAAGGAAAGGGTGTTCGGAGAAGATGTGGAGGTGTACGTAAAGGATAGGTTCGTATCACTGCAATGGTTCCTCGGCATCGAGTTCCCGACACGTGATGAGCCAGTGGGCGACGCAGTCATGTTCCAGTGGTGGAGTGCCAACAGCCAGATCTTCAGCTGGATGCGACTACCAACAGAGCTGAAAGAGCGGATCATCCAGTTCTGTATGCATCGCTCCCCACCACCAATGATGCCCAACAAATCGAGAGCTAAGAAAGCTAAAGGCGCACCCGAAGTCACCGGGCAGTTCGACAAATGGACTTCTCTCCTCAGCGTCTCACACCAAGTCCGCGCAATCTGTCTACGTTTGTGCTTTGTGGGAAGCAAAGAGATGACCTATAGCAATGGACTTTGCATTGTAGCCAGGGACTTCTATAGCTTCAAGAGCTGTATCCGCCGATTGGGTAAGCACCATCAGCTGATCGAGCCAAACGGCGTTCCACACGATGACAAGACTTGGGAGCTGGCGAATCTGTACAAATCATTTCCAAGGATATACCCACATCTCAGCCAATACGCCACTTTCTATCATGGTATCCGCAAGATGTACCTCGAATTCTCCTTTCTGGACTCTCTACACTTCTTCAAGGTCACGAAGGGATCTTTTTCACAGCACTGGAAGTCGTATCATCTAGACCATGAAGTCTTTGAGCGACTTCCATATCTGAATGAGCTTATCATCAAATTACCCGATGCTAAAGGCTTTCTAGAAGACGACTACAGACAACCTGTTAGGCTCTTCTATGGCGAGCCTTTTAACTGCCCTCGAGTCCTGCATCGACTCATTTTTGAGAGAGCGGCTACAGTGTTGGCTCCTTTGGAGAACTTTAAGATGCATGGGTTCATCGATAACGAAGAGGAGAGACGATTCATCGAGTTCCTTGCATGTGCTAAAAAAGGTCTGAAGATAACTATCAAGGAGCTTGAAGAGCTATACAGGGAAGACGTGGGAGGCGTAGAGCTGAGGGAGAGTGTTGGACCCGGTGTTGAAAGAGAAGACGTGGGTATAGAGGAGCGAGAGATCATTCAAGACGACTTCTGGCCACCCAAGTGTCGATGCGAGGTGCTATGCAGAAAGGTCATGCATCCAAGCTCTATGTAAGGTTGAGTGTTGAGGACAATACACATCTACCATTTTTTGCCAAGGTCTTTGTCAAGCAATCGCCGGCTGATGAGCATGAAGATTGATCCTATGATGAGCGAAGCTCCCTGTCGCTTGTTAGTGACTAGAGTGTTCGTGCGATAATAGTCGAAAGTTAGCCTACAGAGAAAGAGATCAACCATTGATATCCATCCTTTGCTTTGTCGTCCGTAATGAGGGAACCACCAATAGGCGTACCAATGAGACTTGCAATAGCTATCACGCTGTAGAAAGCGCCGATGCGGGCTCCGAGTTTATCGTCAGATGTGATCTGGCCAATTACCGAGGGCGGAAGAGCAGTCACACTACTAGTGCAGAAGCCGTATACGCAAACGAAGAATATGAGGGTCGCCATGGAAGTGCTGAGTAGCCAGAGAAATAGACACAGGCAACCAGAGACAAAGGTAATGGGCCATAGTATGTTCAATCGGCCGATATGATCTCCTAGGAACCCACCAAAGGTTGCGCCGATGATGCTGGAGCCGTTTAACATGCACAAAAAGTACTTACTAACAGTGTTTCCAGTATATACGGCGTTGGCATATGATTTAAGATAGTATGCGGGGATCCAAAGGCCGAGGATAGCAAACCACGTGCCGATACATAGTACTGCATAGCTCCTGTCAAGGAATCCTCTGAAACCGATAAGCGACGCGAAACCTTTGCGATCGGGCTTACCGCTAGGTTTGCTTGTGGAGATACACAAAGCGATGAAGTAGCAAACACTTCGATGGTTAGCTGACGATCGACTTGTAGAGCATTGGTACGTACGCAATCTTGACAGCAGCTAGGCGTAATGAATTTGAAAAGCCCACTTTCGGTAGGAGTTGATCGAACATTAGCGGGAAGCCGATGCCACCAAGTGCTGACCCTGTTGATACAAGCCCCATCGCCAAAGCGCGCCGCTCTTTGAAGTGCTGGCCCACGACTGTGAGTGCTGGCTGTACACCGAATGCTATAGTAAGACCCATGAGCAAACCTTGTGTCATGAGAACCAGCCAGAATTGGCCACGATGTATGGACGACAGCATGACAAGAGCCAGTGCAGTACCAGTGCCTGAGCCAAGATAGAGGTACTATGCATTATGAGTCTTAGGCAAGTAAAGCTTGTGAAGTATACTTACCTTAACACCATACAGATCACAAAGAGCCCCAGAAAGAGCAGCCAGCAAATTCATGAGTGCCATTTGGAGCGTCCCGATAAACGCTATAGTCGATGGCGGCGTCTGTTTCAAGAAGTCACTACTATAGTAGTTCTGGAAGAAGCCAAAGCTGTTCATAACTCCGAAGGAAGCGTAGTAAACTAAGATGGAGCCCGCAACCGTGAGCCATGCTGCACGACCTCCATCATGTTCTTGCAGCTTCTTCGATTCGATATCCTCGGTGCTCTGAGAAGGGGAGCGTCCAAGGATGCTAGGAAGCTTTTCCGGCATTTTGTAGATATGGCTGATGGGCTAGGCGTAACAGATAGCCGATGTATCTCACCTGCCCCCGGGCATCATTATATATGATCCCTTCTACCTACTGTTCGTTTTAAAAACGCAAAAAAGGTACAGTGAGTGCCGAGCTGGCCAGCTTGTGTAAGAGTACGCCGGAAGGGAAGGTTGCGTTCACGTCAGCCTTCCCTCCTATACTCCCCATGTATCTTCTTTCTGTTTGTCTTGGATGTACATGGTCGTCATAGATCGTCTAAAAACGGTGGGTTCGTGAGTCCTGAGAGCGTTAAAGGGAAGACGCGATCGCTATGGAAATATTGCTGTCACGATGGATAGGTCGGAAATCGATGTGAACATGACTGTCGACGACGTAGCAACGGAGCAGGTGGGTACGTACATCCCGGATGTACCCTGAAAACCATACGTGCGGGCCTTCGTCAGACTCGCTAACAATGACGTTTTTAACAACAAGAGACATGTCATTTCGGTTGCAGTATTGATCCGCTGAGAGTAGATCCAATTAGCTTGCTGACCGCTTCGTGATACAAACGACAGAATCCTACTGGGTTATGCGAAGCACAGTTCCACTTATGTCTTGACTGATGATCCAGGGGAAGCCAATAATTTGTTCTGGCGACGAGATCAAACACCGTGGACAAGACATAGTGCAACTAGTGAGATTGCAGTAACGTCCAGGCTCCTGAACGTCTTTAGTGGGCGATATACATTTCAATACAGTTCGATGAGTAGATACAATGGCTGGATCGATATGCTTTAGGACTTGCATGGACGCTGTGAAGTATAGAGTCTCGCAGGTTTGAGAACAGTTTCAATCTGGATGTTTTGTCACACGGAGCTGTGCAAAATTCCTGGTCTGTTCAGCTTTTGCGAGAGCGATACGTGATGTCGTGCGTGTGATAGGCGAGATTGTGGTTTGTTGAGTTGAGACAAAGTCAAGGGATGAAGGTGCGATGCGTGGGCTCGGAAATAAGCACTAGCGCGAAACCCTGCCGCTAGCACTAAGATACAACACACCAACACACCCGTCATCCAGTTTCATGAACCATTTGTGTTCTACGATAATGTCTGAAATCAATAACGCTCAGATCACAGCTCCTTCGTGGTTCGAAGAGAACCCTTCACACGATCATATACCTTCCGAGACCCGGCGGCTTCTGGAAACGTGGAGTGGAATCCCATCCGATGACGTATTAGACCATGTTATCAAACTCCGTGATGAAGCTTGGAAGGTTCACCCATATCCTTGCATAGGACAGTTTCGATTCCTTGAGCCGAGCTTTTCCGAGCTGCCCGACGAGTACGATGAGATTGTCGAACGCATACGCAAAGGTCAGAAGCTTTTAGACATGGCTTGCTGCTTCGGTCAAACTATTCGGCAGCTTGCGAACGACGGCGCTCCAACTGAGAACATTTACGGCTGCGATTTGCAGCCGGATTTCATCGAACTAGGCTATAGTCTATTCCGCGATCGAGCGAAGCTTAAGACCAAGTTCTTAATAGCGGACATCTTCGATTCCAAGTCGGCACTTACGGATGTCAAAGGCCAAATCGATATAATCTATGCTGGATCTTTCTTCCACCTATGGGGATACGAGAAACAAGTCGAAGTATCCAAAGCCGTTGTAGCGTTGCTACGTCCACAGCCGGGTTCGATGATACTCGGTCGTCAAGTTGGAGCCACTGAGCCTCTCGAGAAGGATGGCCCTACAGGCACAATGTATCGGCATAACGTGGAAAGCTTCAAAAGAATGTGGAAAGAAATAGGAGATAATCTCGGCATCAAGTTCAACGTCGAGGCCAAACTCAAGCCGCTAAGCAGAGACCATTTGAAATTTCATTTGGACAACACGAAGCGGCTGTGGTTTGTCATTCGCTTAGAATAGTTACTATAGCATTACCTTGTTGGGCGTGTATGAAAACCTTCAAACCAAGTTCTTCTACCCTTCTTTCGTAATGCGAAGTTGTCGCGTCCGCGCCGGTCCGGTCCAGGTTGGGTAAAGGGCGCGGATGGATTAGAGCATCTGGCCCATACTTGGTGGTGCGAAGCTGTACAGATCGCCTGAGTCCAGGAAGCTAGATCTGGTACGTACGCTAGCGAAGAGGTCTAGTGATAGTTCCTGTGTTAGGTGGCATCGTCGCTATTTTTGCGTAGCGATTTCCATGCTATGGCCAGACGCAGATGTATTTTGCCGGGATGTGTAGGGATAATGGACCCAACTACGGCAGCCCTGTCCGCCTGTTACTTTGAGCCTAATTCCCCATACTTTTCGATATTTCGGTCTCAATTTCAAGAGCGTTTTTGATTGGACAACTCAATCTTCGACCATAGCACCGGGAAAGCCACATGTCTGGCTGCAGAAACCAGCGTAAACCTCTGCTCGGTAAACATGTGTCGAACAACATCTGCCGGCGGGAGGCGGTCATATTCTCGTGTTCATTTACTATGGTAGCAGCAATGTACGCGTTCTAGCCCATCTTGCCCCAGCCAGATCACCGAGACTGCAAGAAGCCTGCATTTCATCTATCACAAATGAAATGCGAGATGCAACATACGGCTCAGCCGCTTTACTTAGTGTAAGAATTCTGCTGTCGAAGCTTTTACATATTGCTTATAAGTAGAGACTCTACCAGTTGACAGTCGTGCTCAGCGTCAACTTTGATACCAATCCATCCCACCCAAAAGTTCCGCATTAATCAGGGCGTCTGAAAAAGCCAGTATGAGGTTTTCCGTCGCATTTGCTGCAGTTCTTGCTGCGAGCGTGGAAGCGTCTGGTCGTCAAAGAAGGCAATGGGGGTATCCGGATGGTATGAACTGCTCCCTTAGGCAAAAGGGTAGACTAACGCATGATTAGTTGAGGATTGCGGTCTCGATGGATTTGAAGGGCATACGTCTGAGGCGGCATTGTTCTGTTCCAACATCCTTCGTTCAGGGACTGCAACAGCCACCGTCACCAATGGCTACACCACGACAACTACCACGACCAAGAAGACTACAGTTACCATCCGGCCGACAACTACTCCCACACCTACCCCTACACCCACTCCTCAGCCAACGCCCACACCGACGCCAACATCGAAGTCAACATCTTCATCTCCTCCTTCGCCACCGTCGTCGTCTTCATCGCCCAAGCCATCATCGTCGGCTACACCTGTACAGCCTTCTTCCACAGTAGTGTCTTCGACCCTCGTTTCGAGCCCATCTCCGTAAGTCATTCAGCTGTGACCTTTCGCATTCTGCAGAAAGCTGATCTGTTTGCAGGACACCCACAGCCGCTCCAAGCTGCGGTATTGTCGCGTACGTCAAGACCACGCCAGCGTACTACTTCGAGTCTAGCGGCACAAAGAATACTTTCGATGCTTGCAGCGCGCTTTGCAAGGCTGATAGTAAGTGTAAGAGCTTCGGCTACGGAGAAGCAAACTGCATGCTCTTCGACGTCACTGCGTAAGTTTGGTCCCTTTGATAGAGTGCTGCCGCATACTGACTGTGTCAATAGGGCGGAAAATACCAACTACAACCCCATGTCTCCCTACACCTTCTATGACGCCGCCTGCCCCGCTGAACTTCCAGTGCGCAAGCGCCAACTCGACATCTCACTCGGTCTCCCCGGTGGCATCCACATCTCGCTTGGTCTCGGTCCTGGCGAGATCTCGTCGGCTTGCTCGTGCTTTATTACCAAGGGACCTGCCAGTACTACGGTTACAAGGACAGTCAGTAGTGCAGTTGTCAGAACCAGTACTGTGACTAGCACTGTTACTAGGACGCGAGGTGTTGGTGCTGAATAGGCAAAGCGATGTGGGGAAGAGCAACGGGCTCTCGCAAAAGACAATGCAGAAGTTGTTACATGTCCACTTCAATAGTCGCCACCAGTGTTCTCATATTCATCTAGCGAGGTCCCATAAGACCCTCTGATCTCTAGGCATCTCAGAATGCCATCATTTGCACTACCAGTATTGTGTTATCTCTCGCTCCTGAGCATAACCCTTTGTATGTCGATCAGATTGGGTAGTTTTCAAATTGTAGGTGACAGCGCGCTCGATGCGGTATTTCTGCATCAGCATGTGGTGAGATGCGTTTCTAGCAGGTCGTCGAGACTGTAGTTATCGCGCGTAACGTATTCGATAGCGGGAGGGTTAAGGAAGAAGTTATGCTACAGCTGCTTGTCTGTCAGCGACCGGTGCATGTAGATGCAAGGCTGAATGCTAGATACCTGACGTGGCTTGCTGGCATGTCACCAACTACTGACCTACAGGCTGGTGCACATACAGCCCTGCTACTGCAGCTTGTATATGACGTGATGTTTTCGTCGAAATCGGCGACGCGTCGCACAGTCTCACATATTACCACTGCAATCGAGACGCGACGATTGGAGCGGAACTCAGCCGCGCACCGTTTTAAGACCCGTCTTGTTGCGAGAGAGAATGTGAGGGAAGGCAGCATGCTAGCCATTCGGCAGAGCGTGGGTGGGCGCATCGGGTGGACCCTTCAGGACGACTAGCCAAAGCTTAGCTAATAATTTAGCCCTAGATCCATAAACTTCTTGCACCATCGCCCAACCACCACCAAGACCCTATCACCATGGCGCACTTCTCCCAAATTACCAACCTAGCCGAATATGTAGCCTGCATCAAGGCCACAGCAGGAAAAACTGTTCTACTAGCCTATTGGCCCGAAGACGAAACAACTAATGAGGTTGCTACCGCCCTTCAAAAACTACTTCCGTCAACATCCTACGAGCAGTACGACGTCGTCGACATCTATTGCTTCGATATGTACTCGCTGCCAGAACTAGGCAATATGTTGGACGTGAGCTTCGTGCCGACGCTGATGTGGTTCATGGACGGCGTCATGGATGCCATCGTTTGGCATGAAGGCTGTGCAATTGAGGGCGAGAGTGTGGAGAAGGGTGTAAAGAGGGTAGTGGATAGGATCAAAGGAGGAGATATCGCAGGAGAGGATAGTGACGATGACTGGTAGATGTTGCCAGTCTGGAAGAGGAGGACAAAAGACTTTGTCACGTCGACACCTTTTATTTTCGAAGCATATAAGGAGGCTTGTGGGCGTCGCTGTCATCAAACACTGTTCCGATAATATGCCCTGCTGAATTCACTTCGACTTTCGGCAGCTGAAGCATCGATACAAACAGTGGATCAACACGACTACATTGAAGTTTATACCACGAGCTCCAGGAAAACACCCTACACGTGATTTCCACCAGTCAACAAGACATGTTCATTGAAGAACAGTCACACTGGATGAAAATGCCAGTATGCTCTCACTCCGGTTCTCCGCTCCTGTCGGCTTCCTCGAGAAGAGCTTAGCAATTCGAGCTCGGCTGGCCCCTTTCCACGGCATCCCAGCAGTAAGAGCCGCAGCCATTTTCGTATCGTCAACTCACTCAGTCAGAAGAATACCCGTTCAGTCTGGATTGTTCGCATCATCGCTCATTCTTCTCGTGTCATTCTAATCGCACATATCTGCACTCTTCCTTATGTACGCAGTGTCTCTCTTTGCTCAATATCAAGTCTTGTCAGCTCCCGTGATGTAGTTGCGTTCTCCCGCAGTCTAGTCGCCACAAGACGTTTTCGTCAGAGATGTTTCGTACACCCATTTACTTCCAGATTGCTCAACGTGCTATCTTGCATACATAAATATGTTTCTGCTCTTCCTTTTCACTTTCAAGTCACTTGGCTGCCTTTGGTGTTAGGGTTTAGCCAATGTACACTATGAGTATTGGGGGTTAGACGATGAAAGACGATAGGTGAAATAGGCGATGTCGGTATGGCTTCTCGGATCCGCTCCCTCTTGGTATTATAGTGTTTGCGGTGAATTGTGAAAGCTTACAAAGGCAATGGCAACTTTAGACCAACCTTTCTGTACAACAGAAAGAAGATCCCTAAACCAACCCTTTCTATCCACGGCTGAAGCTCCACGACGACATACTACAGCTAGCGCCGAGAAATACATATCGTCAAAGCATCCTCCGAGAGGTGAACCGGACAACGTCACCGTGGGCTTTCCCAATCCTTAGTGAATGTGACACTTTTACCCACTCTGTCCTTGGCAAAGCGCTAGCAAGACCTCCCTCCGCTCCAGCTACCGAAGAACCCTCCCACCTATTCTTCTCTTGTTACGCAATTGGACCCACGATATAATCCAGCCGCTCTGCGACTCAGCCCATCAATTCGAGTTATATAGGTCACTGCGACAAATCTGTCGCTGCACTCGCTCACAGTGAAGCGACCGCGGACGAAGAATCTTGTAGGCCCATCTCGACTCCGCCCGACCTACGTACTATTCTCCTAAATCCACCACAGTTTGGTTGGTTACGACGGTCGAGCTAGAACTCAGGCCGCATTGCACCTAAGACTCATTTTCACTGGCCCGCATACCAACCTTTCGCCTAGTACCACCCAAGCAATCGCTGTTCTTGCAGCAGTTGTACACAGTAACATGGCAGAACTCAACGGCAGACAGCTGGCCATTCTATTGCAGAATTGGAACCATTCAGTCATCAAGCCTTTCCTTGCCACAGCCGCAGCGGGTCTAGCAGCCATTACTGTCTACGAGAGAGGGATTCCAATCGACATCGATATCAAGCGGCTCAACCATTTCATAGCACACCTCGCCGCGCCTGAGTTAGGGAGGGGTCTGTACACACCTGATAAATACATGAGCCCTGGCCATCCGACAACCCAGATCTTTGGAATCTTGGAGCCAGAACTATCTTCTACCGCTAAGATCACCGCCCGTACAAGCGTCCCAGAACTCTCAGATATTCTTAGTAGCATGGAAACCGATGGCGCAAACACACATTTTCAGACCACGCCAGACATCCCCACTATCATCCATCATATTGGCAGTGACGGTACACACGCACACCAAGCGACGTCACATCTCATCACACCTACTCCGGTACTTTCATCACATATTTCGGGAGCACCATACACTACCACAACTCTTTTGAACGACACACAAGCGCAGAATGCTAGCATTGTTAGCAACGGTGGTGCTCTCGGCCTTGCTACAGCTGGCCTTGTGGCTACAGGGGCTATCTTCTTACACAAGAAGTTTAGCAACTACAGAAAGGCCCAAGCGCGGAGGCTTACCGACGAGCAACTGATAGCATATTTGATGCTACAGCTCGACGATTTCAAGGCCTCCAAAATCACAGATGGACAACTCATAGCACATTTGAAGCTACAGCTTGATGATGCCACGGCTTCCAAGTTCAAGATTGAGACTGCGCTTAAGTTGGCGGAGAACGACCTGCGCATGTCCAACGAAGATAAGAACCGGCTCCGAGGGCAACTATCTGAATCCAGTACCCTTTCTGATAGACTCATCCAAGATCTAGACAAAGCAGAGTTGGAGGGAAATCAGAACACCAAGATGAGTAATGAGATCATCAAGCGTCTGGAAGAGTCTGTCGCCGTCTTAGAGAAGAACCGGAGCACAGAGATGCAAGCAAAGAGCCAACTCCATGATGAGCTATCTGAAGCACAGTCGACTGTCAGCATTCTCCAAGATGAGAAAGCTGCTCATGACCTTGAAGTTCAGAAGCAGTTACGAGCGTTCCGGCTAGATATGGTCGATCTTACCAATAAGCTTCACTCTGCAGATGCCGAAAAGACCAAGCTTATGGATCAGCTAGCAGCCAGTGATGCTGCCGCCGAAATTCTGCGCCAAGAGGCGCGTGAAGCAAACATCGCTCTCGAGACTGCTAAAGAAAGGATCTCCCAGCTCGAGAAGGAGAAGACATTCAGCGACTTGTGCAAGCAAAGCGTCTCTAAGACTTGTGGTGAGGTTGACGACGATGATGACCCCAATCATGGCACCACTGGCTCGACCGAAGGCAGTCAGCAAGATAGCTTACAGCAGGAGGCTTATCCAGCTAGTACGCCAGAATCGTCTTCACAAGCTATCACTGTTGAGGGCGATGAAGAGCTGCCACAAATGTCGATGACATCTTCAGTTCCACTGTGTGGCGAACTGAATATCCCCCGTCGAAAGAAGCGTGAGTTTTGGCACAGTCACTGGAGAGACATCAACTCAAAGAAACCCTACTTTGATGACGCAGTGTATGAGCTGGAGCTTCCATGTTTCGATGCTAGGTTCAGCAGCATTGGGATAGTACGTCCGGCAGAGAACCACGAAGATCGGACGTTGGAGAGCGGGAAAGTGGTCGAGCACACCAAGTGCAATCTCTGTCTTCAGTGGTACACGAAGAAAGACATGTACGATCACTTGAAGACTTGCAAGGCTTTTTGGGAGCTTGCTGTACGTTGTGGTCATTGCAAAAAGATCTTCAAGTACAACACTGCTTTCTTCGACAAACATGCTCCAAATTGCGAGACGAGGTCAATGGAGGATGACTGCTCAGATGAGCATTTTACCCTTGCAAAGTCTGGAGCCGACGCGACCACGACACAGAACTCTCAGCAGGTCAGCCCGAGCTCCAGTGTGTCCATTGTCCCTGGAAAGCAGATCAACCCCGACGCGCCACCCTTCACGCCCGGAGGCTCACTACCAGGCCACGAAAAACCTATCCCTACTGGTCCTCGCTATACCGGGTCAAATTTCCAGCAAGGTCGAGGTGCATCATTCACCGGCCCACAATCTACACGCTCACCTCGAAACACGCCCTACATGACGCTACGCGGCGTCTCGCCAGCTCATGGATCGGGGTTCGGAACACATTACCCAACTGCCTGTCCTCCCAATGGACCCCAGGCATATTCGGCGCCGCGCGACAATTCGCAGGCGCACAGATATCCTGGACAGCAACAGCAAGGCTACCCACAGACTCCTCATACTTTCTCTTCGTTCGGCCCAGGCTACATCCCCCGAGGATGATATGACAGATTCCGATCAGCTCAACACGACATGCGAGATGAAGCGAGCCCTGCCTGACCTGCAAATAGGGAACAATAGAGTGGCCAGAACGAAGGAACGCCATTGAATACATATTGGTCGAAGACAGCGAGTGGATGCTGGACGCGGTAACAATAGCAGATATTGTCATTTGGTATGCAGGGATAGAAACACGGGTAGAGATAGGTACGGGCTCGGGGGCATCGATCTCATAGTATTGATGTCACATAAGCATGGGAGGTGGGATGAAATTCAGATCTGAGGACAACGATCTCATAGTATCGATGTCATAACAACATGTCCATGGGATGACGAAAGTATTTAGTCTGCAGCTCAGAGAAACCAAGAAAGAGTTATGGATTTGACCTGTATGCGCGTGATGTGAGCAGTGTATTTAGTCTGCAGCTTATAGGACAAGGCGGAGAAAGGTGGGAGCGAGGGCGATGTCAACCTGGAGATTTGATGCGGGTTCGGGTGTATGCGTCATCGGGCTAGGCACGCTCCGATGCCTACACCCGTGCTTCTCATGGCGGCTGGAGTATGTTGAATCATTGAAACTGCTGCACTGCTGCCCTCTGTACTTTGGCTCACTCCCTGCCGTGTCCTTGCGTGTTTAGCCCATCTCCAGCAGCCCGTCACACCGGCCATGAAGTGTTGATCATCGCGTCTAGGGCTGGAGCCAAGGCTTGCACGGTCTCGGTAGACGGCTATCTCAAAAACTCCTTATTCACTACCCCAAACCTGGTCGGGGGCGGGCTCCACTTTGACATGGCCGCTGCCCATGCTCAACCCACGAGTATCCACGATGCCAACGACCAGGCTCTCTGGCCCCAGGCCCCCGTGCAACTCGCGCGTGGACGGCAGCCCAGAGACGCGCTCGCGAAGACGGTGCCCTACGGCCCCATCCGCTCCCTCGACCAATTCGAGACGTCATTACGCGAATACCTAAGAAGCCCGCCAGAAGAGCCTGAGCATACCGAAGCCCAGTTCGCCTTCGACATCGACACGTCCTTTGCCGTCCCTTCACCAACTAAGCCGAACCCATCGCAGCAGCCTCATCAGGCAACTCACCCGCCTCCGCCGCCGCCGCCCCAACAGCAACAGTCGCACGCCATACACCAATACAGCCATGCGCCGCCCGGCTACCAGCCCGCACACTTTGCTGGCCCTTCGCAGTACCAGTCCCTCTCAGACGCCAGCTTCGCCCTGGGCCACAACTTCACCGAGTCCATCGAGCCCAACAATGGCGCGCCCAAGCCGGCGGAGCAGAAAACCGCCCTGAGCATACGAGAGGCTTTGCAGCCGACAGCGGACCCCAAGGAGAAGATGCGGAAACAGAGGGCAGTCGCCAAGTGCTGCGTCGACACGATACAGAAGATCGACGGATACCGCTACAGCTTCCACAACTGTTGGAACAGCAGGGAGGACGACAGCTTCCGCTTCTCCTACTACTGCAACGACTCGCTCCTCAACAAGGACCGCGCTGCCAACGGCAAGGGTGCCAAGTTGGGCAAACGTGCGACCAAGCCCGTCTACGACTGTAAAGGCGTCTTGTCCATCAAGTTCTCGGCCACCAAGCAGACACTCGACGTCTTCTACAAGCATGTGCCCATACACAAGACATACGAGGAACGCGCCCCGCCCCCACGCAAAGACTCCAAGCGGCGCAAGTATCTCGAGGAGAACGACCCAGAGGCTTTGGCTAGGCTCGCAAGCCGCTCGAGACAGCTGAGCAGTGAGGATCCAGACACGCCCAGGATCAAGAAGAAGCGATCCGACCCTCTGCCCGAGCCTCCAAGGCCATCCAACACGATTGAGAGCGACCTGAGACAACAGAGTCTGCGTATGTTGCTAGAGCTGATCCAGGTAGAGCCACCTACGCATTCGCAGCACACGCTCATTGAGCCTCCACCACCTCCGCCTCCACCACCTCGTCCTCCCCCGCAAAAGCCTCACCCTGGGTCGCGCCCTACACTACATGTTGAAACGCAATCAGTATCAGCACCACAGCGGAAGCGGCCGAGGAACAGTTGCGATGTCTGCAAGGCTAAGAAGACCAAGGTAGGATATAAACGATTGGGCGTTCAAGCAACAGCAGCTGATATATACAGTGTGATGGCATCAAGCCCATATGTTCGACATGCAACGACAAGAGACGGCTGTGTGTATACTCTGAGCCAGCGAGTGGCGAAGACCAGCGACCACCTACACAAGCCCCCGAACCGGCAGCTCATCCCGCTGGCGAATCCGAGCTTGCAAAGATCATGAAGGAGCTCGAGGAAACCAAGGCAAAGCTGAAACATTATGAGGCTCGGGAGCGAGCTTCGACTACCCCAATCCAGACGCCGCAAATGGCGCCACGACCTCGCTCGCAGCAATCCCAAGTCCAACAAAAGCCGCCGCCTCCGCCTCCGCAACCACCACAACAAACTCATGTTCAACAACAGCCGCAACCAGTACAGGTCCCGCAACAGCCTCGTCACCGATCACAAGTGTCGCAGTCACAGACGTTACCCCATGTGTCTCAGCAGCAACCGCAACGTCAACATTCAATACCAAACCACCGTCAACAACTGCAACAACTCAATCAAGGTCTGCCGCACGGCGTGAGAAGCCCACAACAACAGCTAGCCTACAAGATGGGTAGCCAATCACCCCAACAGCGCCTACAGAACCCGCCGCAACAACTACCGCAGCAGCACCAGCAGCACCAGCAGCACCAGCAGATTGGGCCTTCACAGCAGTCTATGACTCCACAACAGCAGTTCCAGGCAGCGACAGCCCAACAAATGCAAACCACACAGCTTCAGACACATCAAAACTATTTTGCAGCCAACCACTCCAACCACTCTCCGTATGGCACGCTCAATCGGCCCATGCCGCAGAACACGCTGCCAGTCAATCCCATGGCATCGCAGCCAATGGTGACGCAAAACAGCATGTCAGCACAGACGAACGCGCATTTACCACAGACGCAGCCTCAACAGCCACCGGCGCCTACCATCGATGTAAATAATTCGTATGGACGTCCTGGGGAGTTTGCATGGGCACCCACTGGGTATTATGGATATCAAAGTGCGGCACCACAACAACAACAACAACAACAACAACAACAACAACAGCAACAGCAGCAGCAACAACAACAACAACAACAACAGCCACAACAACCACAACAAGACCAATGGGCTGCGGCGAGAGGGTCAGGTGTTTTTAGATAAGGACCGGGTAGCCTGGTCCTATGACGAGGCTACTTATCACTGTCTTGAGTTGACGAGGAAATGGCTGCTGTTACATTGGCGCCAAATCATGATTTAGGATATTTTGGCTTTCAGCGATACGAATACTAGATACCCAGGATATATCTTCTTCCATTTGCGGGAAGATTGGCACACTATATACACGCATGTTACGAATTTGAATGAAGGAATGACCATGGTATAATTATGCTTCTGCATGACGTGTTGACTCAGCTATCTGGTACTAGACAGCTCCGTTTACTGCAATGCCTCATCATTCCAACGCCAGAATGCCGCTTGATGTCCTTGCCCAGCCTGTATATGTACGCCATGCCGCTCCAAAAACGCCTTGCAATGCCAGCCGCGCAAACTCTCCATCCTGCGCTAATCCACGTCCATCATCTCATCGTGTTTGACGTCGTCGTTATTTCCCCTGGTCATCTTAGGTGTCTCCTAAAACCCTATCTTCTGACCCAAACCGCGGAAAGTGTCACCGATGCTTCCACCCATACCAGATGACTTTTCATTCGACTTGTTTGATGAAATCTCCATGCTCGCTGCCTGCAAGTTGAGACGCGTTAATCGAAGGCGCAGGGTGTGGTCGTACTCCTCGGCCATCTTGAGAGCGTCGGCGTGTACGTCGTGGCGGGGGTCTGTGGGTGGACAGATGAGTAGGCGGTCGACGAGATCTATCCGCGCATTAAGAACACGCTGGTTGATCATCTCTTCCAGATCTTCGTCGATGGTCCGGCCTTCCGCTGGCGGGAACTTGGACGTCATTTCGTCAAGCGTGACGCAGCTGAAGGGTATGAAGTACTGCACGATGCTCTTTGTCCGGATCCGGCTGTAGATGGTGTTCAGCATCTTGGACAGATATACGTCGAGGAGATAGTCGTTGCGGTAGCCTTCAAGCACTTCGAGACATGCGCTGTATTTGGAGTTGCAGAAGAGGTTGATAGCGCGGCGAATGTGAGGTTCGAGCTCAAGGAAGTTACGAAATTCGCTGTTTGCTAGCACCTTGTTTTGCAAATCGCTGCGGTCCATGTAGGCAAGCGCACAAAGACCACCGTATACCGCAATGTCGTTACCCGAAATGACTTCCTTCTGCCATGTAATGTACGCTGCTGGCTCTGCAGTCAAGTATGCCGCTGAGGTACCAAGGAACGCTGTCGCAGCTTCGCGGTAGTTGCCAGTAGCCATGTGACATAGACCGCTGCAAGCAGAAATGATGGGCTCCATCTTGGCCTTGTCATCGCCCTTAATCTGAGTGGCTTCCGACTTGGCCAGATTTGCCAATACATTTGTCCATGACTTTTGTGCGATGCTAACATATACGAGGCGGAGGGTCATGTCTGCAAGATGCTTGGGCGAGGTGCAATGCTCGCGCATCTTCATGTAGGCCTTGAGTGCGTTACTAAAGTCACCGGTATCGTAGTAGAAGTGACCGAGGTCCTCGTTGCCCATCTACAGGCAGTTAGCGAATAAGCACAGGTTTATTCCGCACCGGCACTTACTCGTATGCTCTCCTTGATCAAGTTGTTCTTGTATGACTTGAGCTCATGCTCTAGTCGGTCGTGCTCCTCGCGCACTTCCCGCGTCTTCTTCTCAACCCATGCTGTATCTGTCACAGACGCAGGGTCCTGTGGTGCTATGCGGCTGAACTGTTCTACCAGTGTTGTGTATAAATCAACATTCTTTCCCCTCTTTGCCTCGGCGATAGCGAGGCGGTAAGCGTCTGAGGCGAGGTATGGCGAGTGGGCGCCGATGTGGTGCAGGCGATCGATTCGTGTGTAGCCTATAAGACCTGTCAGTGCCCAGAGAGCCGAAGCAGCATGTTGAGAGCCTTACCGGTGTAATTGGCAATGTACGATTCCAGGTCAAACTTGGGAGGGTCTATCGGAGTTAGCGACACGCGCCAATGTTACATCGACTATGTCATACCCTTGACAACGATTTCGCCTTTCGACTTCTGCTCCTGGAAGAATGGCGATTGTTCGATATTCGACGCCATGACGCGGTGTCGTAGTGTGTGCGGACGGGTGAGGGTGTGGTTGCGGCGTAATGCTGAGAGTCGATGGAGCTCCAAGCTGTCACGGCTGTCTAGGTCGCTGCTGCCTTCCCAGGTTCCCCCACAGCGGGGAGGCTGACTAAGCCGCAGCACATAGGTCTCAACTTTCACCCATTCACAACGCGGAGTCACGACTGGCGCCTGTAGCCTCCATTGCATCCATTCAATATTTCTCTAGCAATTCCAATTTACATGGTTTCCAACTTGTCAATGCATGAACTGTGTTGCTTCTGAAATCGGCACTGCATCTAGACTTGATCAAAGCCAAAAGAGACCTTGAAGGTATGTGTTGTTGAAACACGACCCTGAATACACTTGGTATTTTGTTACGCTCAAACCACCTGGGTCCAGAAGCCTTTAGATCCAGCTTGCTCGCGAGACCTATCTGGGTACCAAAACAAATCTCGTTCAATACCCTCATGCATTGTCAATGCGCCGACTGCAAGCACATACCAAAAGACCCCCGACACGCCACCATAATAACTAAATATGGCTGCAAAAAGCAACACATCATAACAGCACACCCTCAAGCTTGGGTCAACCCGATATTCCGGTATCGAGCGCATGGCCCGTCTGTTCCAAACTTTGCCCACACACATTGTCAGCTGTGGCTGAGCCAGAATCCAGACCTGGGAAACGGGTACCGCCCGTGGATAAACAGCTCATCGGAAAAATGTGGCAGCTTACTCTAGACGGCTACGACAGCCGGAATTTCCAGAGACCGGAGTTTTGGGAGATCTACGACGCAGGTCCGAGGCGTGGTCGATGTCAGCTCTATACAAGCGAATGGCATCAGACGTCCTCGCAGCTCTAGAGAATGCCTCCGCGATTGAAAAGAGTACGACCAAGCTATTGTCAGTGTGACCATCACATCAAATCTTCTCCGGAAGAATCACAGGGTTAAGCGGAAGAATATAATCATGGTGATAGTCAATAGATTCAGAAACTATATCTTCGCGGCCAGCACGTCCATTACATCTCCTTTGACAATAAACGCCGACAGCCGAAAGCAAAGTCCCAGTGGTATCGATCGAGTAAATGAAAAGCAAAACTACAAACTTGGTAGTACAGCAAAGAAGTTCGTTGGTCATGTTCGTTCGTTCGTTCATGGAGCCATGTCTGTGTGCGGGTTGCTGTGTAACCTTTTTCATGCATCCCATCCGTATCGCTCAAAACGCTCATGACAAAAACAAAATATCGTATCTCTAATCATGCTCAGAGAGCCCAGTCCAGCGATGCGGGCTCCATACCCACACCGTTGACGCCTCCAACAATATTGTCGGGCATCCAGGGGCCTCTCTCTTCCCTTGTGGCGCCATGCAGGGCATCTGCGCGGTTGAGGGTCTGGACGTCCAAGTCTGTGACGTACGACTTGCCATCAGGCAACTTTGTGCGTACTTCAAACTCCTGGTCGAGCATCATGTCATCTTTCCATAGCCTTCTCTGGCCATCATATACGCACAAGACGCGCTTCTTCATCTTCATCTTATCGGTAGCGCAGCCCCAAGATACCGGGTAGTTCTTGCGCTTCTTGCGTCCGGAACCGGTGATGGCTACGCCGCCTTTGGAGAAAGTGAGGCCAGCGCGAGGACCGGATTTTTGGATGCGAGAAGAGGAGAGGTGGTTTGTTAGGTGGTTACCATCCCCGGCGTGCTGCGTTGCGCCGACACCCCGGGAATGTGTTAGTTGTCAATCCTTCTTCGAGGATTTGATGCCTCCCTTGCCTGAGCGGCCGCGGCGGGAGCCGTATGTGGCATCATCGTGGTCATCGTTATCGACTTCCTCTTCCTCATAGTCATCTTCCTCATCCTCGGCATAGTTGGGTACTGTGTACTCAATGCTCTTAGATAGACCGTTGCGATCGAGAGTCTCAGTGACGTCCGGATCCTCTGCAACGGAGGTAAGAAGGCGTTGGTTGATGGCTTCACTTGGGTCGGTTTGCTGTACAACACGCAGCACACAATCGTCCAAATGTTCGTAGAACTCTTGCGCGTTGGCAAAAGTAACCGAGCAAGTAGAACAGGTACCAGCAACGTTGGGCTGCGAGCCACCGAAAGCCTTGCGGCTTGATGGGCTCTTCTTGCGGCTGTTAGGAGGATTCTGCTCCACGCCGTGAACAGAGGTAAGGTGCCTCTTGAAGACATCAGCACGGTTGAACGACTTCTCAGCCGCTGAACCACTGCCTGGACAGAAACCGCAGACCATTGTGCCCTTGTAGTGCGTGAGCGTGTGACGGTTCTTGTCATATTTCCTCGCGAAACCCTTGGTGTTGTACTCGCAGGTCGCGATCGGGCACTTTTCCGGTCGTTCGTTCTGGTGGGTGAGCATGTGTGCCTTCAGGTCTTTGAAGACGCGCCCACACTCTGGTAGTGGGCACATTCCCTTCTCGCGGGTCTCATCGTTGTCGAAGCTGCTTCCACTCTTGCCTGAGTGGTGCGAGTGAAGAGAGTTGACAGAGCCTCGCCGTTGACCATTGTACTGGGGGTAAGGCTGGTATTGCTGAGTACGAAGATAGGGGCTGGCACTACCCTTCTTGATGCGTGCCGAACCGGGGCGCTGGCTGTGGGAAGAGAGTTGAGAGAGAGCTGGTGAGGGTGGTTGCTCGATGATGGGGAAGTAAGGAGATGGGGTAGTCCTAATCTCAGGGTATGGGCTCTGAGGCGCGAATGCGAATGGCTGAATGAGATTAGGGTCTGCTTATACTGCATTAGTCTCCATCATTTATAGCATTGGGAGGCAACCGACAAGTCTGAGAGAGTTGAGAAGATTGTGAAACTGAAATGACAGAAGGAGAACTAGTTGATGCCATATCACGCATGAAACCATGCGGCAAAAGAGAATTTCTCCGCTCATTTGGTTTCGAGGACCAAGTGGCTGAAGCTGGGGTCGTGGGCGTCTTGAATACATGCCTCTTGTAGATTGGCGAGGTAGGCGATGCAATGAAAGAAGAAGAAGAAGAGACCGTTGGTAAAGGAACTGTTGACTTACCCACATATGACTTATCTGTCGCTACCATTCCTGGGTACTCGTATCCAGTAGTCACCCCTAGTCCCATTGTGCTCCACGAATCATTGAAATGTGGAACAAGTGATGGGGAGCCCATGGCGGAAGACGACACTGAAGCACCGGATTCAGAAGACGCAGAAAGAATGGGAGGCTGCTCGTGGAAAGAATGTGAAGTTGAGTGGGGAGAGCCGGCAGGGGTCTGATACTGGTAAGGCTTGACACCTTGTGCGATGGCATCATAATGGTATTGCAGGTCTTGAGGCCTTTGCATCTCTGCGAGGGTAGCCATGTGGTCATATGAGGCGCTGAAGGTGTGCTCCATGGCATATGTTGAGGCAGGCACGTAAGGCAAGTTGTGGTGAAAATCCAGATGCTGTTCTTGGTTGCTGGAGTAGAGCTCAAAGTCGTGAGGCATGCTCGGTGGATATTGTGCGTAGTCAACCATGATGAACAATGTGGGAGATGAAACAAAGCAAACTGGAACAGTCGAGTGTCGAGTTGCAGCAGATGCCTATATCGGTAAATGGAGTCAGCATAAGCACTGAGCATGTGCGATGGGATCGTTGGTGTTTGGTTGGTAGGGCTAGCGCAGATTATAAGGGACCGACAGGGGAAAGCTTACCTTCCCGGAGGAGGTGCCGATCCAATTCTAAGGTCGTCGTATGAGTCGGCGATAACTCAAAAGGCGTGGGAACTTTGTAGATCTTTTACTGCATCTAGGCACGAGAGTGACAAGGCGTCGTCCCTCTCTGTAGAGTAGTCCTGGCGGCGGCTGGCTGAAGCGAGGGACAAGTCAGAAGCGGGAAGGACTATGGTGCTGAAGAGAGAACCAAGGCGTCGGAAGAGGTCTGGATGAAGTAGTGTTTGCGTTGATCATAGGCCTGGATGGAGGACGATGCCTCGGGGGGCGAAGTTGGTTTATACATAAGGCCAGAGTCAAGACGGCCGTGGCCCCCAGCGGGAAACAGTGCACGAAGCCATACGACGGCAGGCCAAACCCCTGTCCTGGAGGCTTTACTGCCCTACGAGCTTGGGCCTCTGGCATAGGGTGGCAGATTAGGAAACGGTCAGGCCACGCTAGGAAAAATAAAAGAAGGCAGAAGTTACCGGCCGCCGTCAATTCACGTCCCCGCCTCGATCGCGCGCCCCGACTGCTCAGTGGTAGCACTAACCCCTTGGGAGTCGCGGTGTGCCCGACCCCTGTTTGCGCAAGTCGACGCACCAACAGAGCAAGCCATGCCGAAAGTGACGAGGGGTCGAAGCACGTCAGCGAGTAGGCGTGCAGAGCGTGGGAGCCGTCATGCTGCATCTGGCAAAGACAAGCGGATTAGGGATAGACCCTGAAGAAAACGCACGCTCGATCACCGCTTCGGTCGGGGAGCCATGGGCGGACTGGGGACAGGTCCTGTCCTGCCATTCCGCAAGCCAGGCGGCCCTTAGCGCATCTGATACGCGATCCTCTCGCTTTGCCCGCAGCTCGGACCGTCATGCACGAGCTGTGGCTGGTGACGCTAGCACTCGGCTGTGCAGGCTCATGACGTCTCATTGGACATGGGCACACTGCTAATCTTAGACCATTGCCCGCAACGGGGTCGCTAAGCGAGTCTTCGTGGGGCTCAGTCTGCGCTGCACTGCCTCTCCAACAGGCCGTCTCTTCGTGCTGACCTCACCGAGTTTCTCATCGTCACGTTGTGACATCGTCACTGCGGGACTCGATGATGCACAGTTTTCCTGACTAACCACCGCTCCAAATTGCGGTGCGTCATATCACAGCTCGACCGCAATGCAAGGCTACCGTGGCATGGCGTGACATGGTCCTCTGAATAATCGTCGTCGACCTTTGGTGTGGTGGGCACATTGCAGCTGGCCGGCTATCGCATGTGACGGCGCCTGTACTGGCCATCCTATGGTCGCGACCGAACACCTACCCTACAGCCGTTTGCTAGACTTGCGCCCGTCGTGGGGAGCCAAGTCAGAGCAATTTCGCTCTGGGGGCCTTGCGCTGCCACGGTACGCT